TGCATGCAAAGAAGGGCGGCTTCATGATCTTCCTGAACCCGTTCGCCTGAAGAACTCTCCCGGCATGTCATTCCAATTGCAACTGGCTGTTCTTCACGTCCAAGATGGGCAACACTTCCTGTTCAAGCACATTGTCCTTCCTGAGGGTGTCCATCTGTGCTCTTGGGATGAGCTAGTTTTGAATGTTTTCCATGGCTGCTAGCACCAAAAAAATGAACCGTGTGAGCCCTTTGCATCTTGAAGCTTCAAAACATGCAAAGGAACCAAAAATGGAAGTGGAAGATACAAAACCTGCACAGGGACAAAAAAATAGGAAAAATGGAAATCTCAGAGAGAACTTTCCATCTGACCTGGAGATCTTCCTCAGGATTTCCATTGTTTTCATTTGTTTGTCCCTGTCAAGGTTTTGAGACTTGCACTTCCATTTTTTTGTCCCTGTGCTGGTTTCAGCATCTTGAAGCTCCAAAACATGCACAGGAACCAAAAATGGAAGTGGAAGATACAACACCTGCACAGGGACAAAAAAATAGGAAAAATTGAAATCTCAGAGAGAACTTTCCATCTGACCTGGAGATCTCCCTCAGGATTTCCATTTTTTTCATTTTGTTTGTCCCTGTCAAGGTTTTGGGACTTGCACTTCCATGTTTTCCCTGTGCGGGTTTTGGAGCACAGGGGTAAACAAACCCCTGTAAAATGGACGGTTTCCCAGTGTTTTTCACTCCAATGTCTACAAAACACTGGCAGGTGCACACTTTCCAAAGTAACAAACATCAAAATCGAAAGCGGATTCCGGTTTCGAGTTTGATCTATGCAAGGATGCATCTCTTGAAGGCACAAAGCCTCTGTGAAACAAACAACTTCAAAAAATACTGTGTTTTACCGTGTTTTCTTGGGGCCCAACATTTGTAAGAACGATTTGCAAACATGCTATGTTAGTTGTTTATGTTAAAGGTGGGCCCTGCTGGGGGGGGGTGACCATATATATATATATATATATTATATATTATATATACAATACAATATATATATATATATATAGAGAGAGAGAGAGAGAGAGAGAGAACAAGCGAAGCTGAATAGGTCGGCCTTTTGTTCAACAGTGTAAGAAGCCTAAGACACCTCCAGAAAGTTCTACAAGTTACCCCCCTGTTCACTAACATGGACCCTGACTGTTCGGGGTGGAAGACGGTTCTTCCTTTAGGGAGCATTTGGCTGCTCAAACAACCGGAATTCCAACATCGAAGCCTAAACATGGGTTACCCAAGACCTGCGGTTTGCCCCTGTGGAATTTTGAGTGCCATACCCATTTCTCAGGGCTCGGCAACGCGGACAGAACAAACCCTGATACTGTGGACGGAATCCTCTTAGGCACCTAAGAATCCCTGGAATGATTCGATTCCTCTGTAAATACCAACCAAAAAATGGTTTCAACCATGGTTTCTTAGGTGGTGCAGGATTTGTCCATCCACAGTATGTCCTTGGTCTTTGCCCCTACGGGAAGGGCATCGGATTGATGTTGACACCTGTTTCACTTTCTTGGGCTGGTGCCCTGCAAGCGAATGCTCTGAAGCCCCACGAAAAAAAGGGACGCCCCCCCCCCCCCCCCCGCCCTATTTACCAACCAGGGCTTCTGCTTCATCCGAAAATTCCGACCCATTTTTTTTCTCGCAGCTTTGGTCGCGGCTCTCAGCTTGATTCCACGTCTTGTGGGTGGGGCGGAACTTTCCACGCGAAGGAAGTGCACAGCTTGCCAACCAGTTGGCTCCGCCCAAAGCGGCAGAGCTTCCCAAAAGTTATGAAACCATCTGCAAGTTCTACAATGATCTACATCCAATTGCTTTTTAAATTTTGTCCCCTGGACAAAATAAGCAAACAAAACATCCCGCTGTGAAATCGATTCCCTTTAAAACACCCCGTGGGCTTCGGGACCTAAATCATGGTGAATCGTTCACCATGGAGGCAGAACCATACTAATGGTGCTCCCTTTCATGGCCCGGACGAAGGCGTTCTTGCCCTAAACCGGTTTGCGTCTTTCTTGCAAAAGCCCCCTCATGACACTCAGATGCCCAGTGGCCATGGGAAAAAAAAGGCATCCTTTTTTGGTTGGTTGACTTTATATACAGGGGAAGCAACTTGGAACCGGTGTGCGGCTTTCTTGCAAAAGCCCCATGACAAAAGGGGCCAAAGAAGCCCACTACCTGTTTCGCCAAGGGGACATGTATGCCTTTTCTTTCAAATTTGGAGCTCGCCCCAGTTTCTCGTCCCCAAAAGCACCACTCTGTGTGCTCGACCGTAATTTTGAAGGGACCTCAACTCGCGAATCTCCTGAAGGCCAGGCCTGAAACAGGGGGACCTCGATGGCTTTCTGCGAAGCCCTGCTAAAAGCGACGAACCTTTCGTGGTTTCATTCGGAAAACCCAACAACGTCGGCAAAAAGTTGAAGTCCTAACATCCCTTGGCAACATGCAGCTCCGGGACGCTAGGCCTTACGCAAACCCATGCTAGCCTTACTCCCAAACGGGTCTGTTGAAACCCAAATCAAGGCCGCGGCCCTCCCGCCGCTGAAACAAGCCGCTCACTGACCAAAGAGTCCGCGGGATACAGGGCTCCCTATATTTCCCCTTGAGACATCACCCCCCACCAGGGGATACTCACCTTTCATGGGCCAAAAAGGTGATGTTTAAAACCACCAAACAGGGAAATATAGGGAACCCTGGTATACGGCCATATGCTTTTGTTCAGAAGCTTGCGAGTTGGCACTTTTTGCTTCTGGCTTTAGAAGGAAACCAAAAGGACACCCAGATATTTTTGTGGGGGTGCCTTGAAACAGACATCGCCAAATAATCGGGGCACCCACCAACTATGCCGGGTTCCTTTTGGCGAAAGAACACACAGAACACACAGTCAAGATTGTAGGAGTAGTAAAGAACCACCAGACAAACAAAGTAGGAAATATAATTAGGAAAAGGACCAGTCCACTGGGCAGGCTTTGCATTCCAACTTCGCGTTGATCGCCCTGCAAAGGCGCGGCCGATGTTATCGTTGTGTTTTGCCTCCCGAATGCACGGGAGAGGTCGCCGTTCGGCGTTTCTGGGTTCCATTTGGGTCTAAGAATCTAGCTACCAACAAATCAGATGTCCCTTTGTTGGGTTGGATTGGCTTGGAGTGGAATTGAATTCCCGGTTCTTGTAGGAAACACCTCCAAACCGACAATCCAGATCACCAATTCGGGAAAGGCCTCTGGGGAAAAAATAGTAACATACGCTTTTTCGACCCCCCTCGCAGACGCTCATAAGAATGGTTGACACCAACTTCAACAGCTTAAGCTCTTTGACAATGACTTTGGGATTTCAACCCCTAAGTAAAACATGTTATTCACCATGGAACACCGATCCATATTCAATGAACCTTAAAATATCTTAATATGTAAACTTATTTGAGAAGAGATCCTAAATACTGCCAACCCCTGACTGAAGAGAGGCATTCACCATACAATCCCTTCGGGCTTCTCCACATATTCCCCAAAGAAAAGCGGTCCAATGGTGGAGTCTCCCATCTTTACTCCATCAGGGATCCTTACATTATACACCTGAATTTTGCCTTGTAAATCGTGGTTTCCCCTTATTTTGGTGGAACAAACAACATGTTTCAAATGGTAAAAATGTATCGTTTAAGGAGCCCTGTCCAGTAGCCCCATGAGTTTACATTATCAAAGCCACCGACTCCAAGTCCCAGATCACCCAAATCCCCTAAAAGTGGTAGGTCTTCCATACAAATATCAGGCCGCAAAACGCATGCCCACACGGGGAACCACGGCGGCCTTGGATCCGTCAACCCCAAAAGATGGCTTCAAACGAATGGGTGAAACATCCATGACCCTTTATTTTTGGGTAGAAGGTTTTTCTTCAGGTGGGTTTCAAGGGAAGCCAAAACGAAAAGGAAACAAAAAACAAAAACAACACCAAGTTCGGTGGGACCCCCCAAAAAATATATATATATATATAACATAAACAAACAACGACAAATCCATGTTTGCAAGATTCTCGTCATTCGCCATTTGCTTTTCATGCGAATCGGAACCCTGGAAGCTCCAGGTTTCAGTTTCAGCCTCCGACTCGGAGGCGATGAGCTCCACTTCGCGAGGGGCGGGGGCCGGGCCATTTCAGGCAGTCCCCGAAGGGAAGCAAGGAGGTTGAAACCATTTTTGGGAGGTTCGGAGGAATAGATTGTGATCCGGGGGTGACTCCGGAGCAGGGAGTCACCACTTTTGGAGGGGGACATTTTCAACAATGGGACCGGTTCTGCTTTGATCCAAAAGCAACATTGCAGTGGGTAACGGGGATGTACTCCATGTCCCACTTCGGGTGCTGCAATGGTTTCAGGGTGGAAGGCTGCTTAAGTGGTGAGAACCAGAAAATTCAAGCCAAACGGAGGTCGTTTAAACAATACTAAAAACAAAAGAACAAATCGAGGCTTGATTTTGGATCTTCTTGGAGAAAGACCCCCACCCGCCCTACTGTGGAACCCGGTTTCTGATCTAAGTCCTCCGGATTTGAGAGGTTTGAATAAGTCGGTACCCCTTTTTCTGTAGTCGATTTTAGTAGGGGGAAAAACGATCAGTCCCCTGTAAATAACAACCAGCAATGGTTTCAACCATGGTTTCAAAGTGGTGCGAAATGGATTTCGTCCACAGTAGGCTATTTTAGTAGGGAAACCGAATCTCCCAACCATGAAAAGGGGTTCAGACGGGCACCTAGCTGGGGGACCTGGTCACCTAAAAGCCAACAAGCCTCGTGGTTTTCATTCCCATGGTTTCTTGAAGCGCGGTGCCGGATTTTGCATCAGTATGCACAGTATGCATAGGGTTTAGGGTTCTCTCTCTCTTCATATTCCCTTCAAAACCAAGAGGGGGGAAAATAAAGAAAATCTTCATTTCAGCCAAAATGGCAGCTAGGACCCCCCCCACTCCTACGGAAAAATGGGTTTTGCGGGTTCTACTTCGAACAATCTCTTCAGTGGCCCACCCCACCCGGCGCTCGCGTCGAATTTTTTGATTTGGTGCACCTCAGGTGGCGTACTTCTGGACCCAGTCTCTGGCCGTTGCGTCGTGCTTGGCACGGTCCTTCAAGTAGACCTGGTCACAAATCATGGGAGCTGACGATCGGGGGGGGGCTTTGGAAGTCCCGCAACCCTTTCTGGCTGGGACTGTCCCAAAAAAAAACCTTCATCCACCCGGGCTTTGATTGTGGGTCCTCCTTTTCGGGAACCTGTCCACTTCTGTTGGCAAAATGTGCGAGTCACATTCGGCTACCCTCTTGCGATCTCCGGGCTCTCAACTACCCGCAACATACCTAGCCCGCACTAGCCCGCTAGGTTATAACCCACATTACAAGTCTCCTAAGTGGGGTGAACTCACCACTTTCTAAATTGGCAAATCGAACATCCAAGCGTGGCACCTCAAAACGAGTTGTTGAATTGGCGTCGGCTGAAAAACAAAAAGAAGCTGCGGGATCTCAGCCCGGAATGGGATTCGATTGAGCCAAACTGAATCTTTCAAGGAGCCCTGGAGCTCTTTGGGCTCTTTGACACATTGGGTATGGCTCAAAAAACCGGAATTCCAAAATGGAACCCTGGTAAGTGGAAACCTGGACCAAAACCTGCGTCACCCTGGCTCCGTAATTTTGAGCCACTACCACACCAACTGGGTTGCTTTCTGCTCCCCTAAAAGTGAATAACTGTTGGTGGTTTCATTTGGAAAACCCAAATTAGTTGGCCAAAAGTCTTTCAGTCCGAACATCCAAGCAAATTGAACCAAAGTGAATGTGGCCCGCAATGAAACCACCTAGAGGCTCGCCTTGCCTTTTGGCGGAACAGGACGGGAGCTAAATGCCCTAAAAAACAGATTGTCTCGCAGAAAAACAAAAAACCTTTCCCCAGCCGATTCGGAGATTGAGCCGCCAAGGACCAGTTTTCACACTGCTTCAGTCCTTGGATTGGTTCTTCGGGTGAAACATCTTTGTTGGGCGTGTCTTTTTGAGGGGTGGGACCCCCAACCTGGCGCAACGTTTTTCCTCAATGGCTCCCCTCTAAAACCACACAAAAAAGGTGCCCCAATAAACCAGAAAAACAATGCGAGCCTGGGCCGAAGATGCTTCAAATGGTACCAATGCGGTAACTCGGAGAAGCCCTAAACCCACTGCGGTTCATGTAGAACAACGGAGTCTCAGCAGCAAATCATCGACTTGGACTAGGCTGTTGATCGGTTGACAGGCATGGCGGATTCGCGGAGTCGCAGTTGGTTTTGGGTGGGTTGGGGTGGGTTGAGGCAAGGCCTAGCGTCGAACTTAGAGGGCGAGTTTCGGGGTAGGGCGGGATTAGGAGATGAGTTTAGGGTTGGACAAGGGCGGGGCGCTTAAGGGATCTACATGATTTGGAGGATCCCCTCGTAAAGCAGGTTTTGGGATGCTAAGGAATCCCGCTAGGTCCTGGCTTGGACAATTTCCTCGAGCAGACCGGTTGAGCTGGGAGAGGTTAGAATAAGGGTATCCTTCTTGCAGTAGTGTATTTTAGTAGGGGAACCCTCCCAACCAAAAAAAGGGTTAAGAAGGGCACCTAGCTGGGGGACCTAGTTTGCCCTTTTCTATGTGTTTGACCTGGGGGCCGCATGGACTTCCTGGTTGCAAGGACAAACATCGGCTAGATCCGGTCAGCTCAGCGAAAGACATGGCCCCTGACCAAAATGGCAAAGCACCGGAAAATCCGAGGTCGAAACTCCGAACATCGGAGAAAATCGATTAACCGCGTCCGATAGCGAATCCGAAAACCCGAAAATCCCGCTTTCTCGGAACTCGGCCAAACTCCGAAAATCCATCCGAACATGGGTATGGGTTAAAATCCAACCACCAAACCTTAGTCTTTTCGATTTACCAGGGTTCAACCCATTTGTGAGGTTGCCCCGATGTATCTCAGTCCCTTAAACCCCGAAAAAAAGCCGCGCCACCGCGCCTGCGCAATCTCCGGCACCAGGGGGTCCGAGGGGTTGGGGTCTGTGAGCAGCGAAGAGATGGACAGAAGGACCTTGGAGATGGTCAGCGCTGGGCTCCATTGGTCCTGTGGTCAATTCGAATTCGAGTACGTAAGTTGTCGGTAACCCTTCGGTTTTGGTAACCACTTACAAAGTCCCCCAAGTGGTTGTAACCTGCTGGAAGCTTGCCCCTTAAAACTCCAAGCCCTGGGGAAGTTCATCTTTTACAGACATATAGCCCATGTTACCCAAAAAGTTGAGAAAAGTTGGGTTTTGTTTAAGAGGTAAGTAAATTGTTGGTAACCCTTCGGTTTTGGTAACCACTTATAAAGTCCCCCAAGTGGTTGTAACCTGGTGGAAGCTTGCCCCTTAAAACTCCAAGCCCTGGGGAAGTTAATCTTTTACAGACATATAGCCCATGTTACCCAAAAAGTTGAGAAACGTTGGGTTTTTTAAAGAGGTAAGTAAGTTGTTGGTAACCCTTCGGTTTTGGTAACCACTTATAAAGTCCCCCAAGTGGTTGTAACCTGGTGGAAGCTTGCCCCGTAAAACTCCAAGCCCTGGGGAAGTTAATATTTTACAGACATATAGCCCATGTTACCCAACAAGTTGAGAAAATGTTTTTTGTTTTTTAGAGGTAAGTAAGTTGTTGGTATTCATTCGGTTTTGGTAACCACTTATAAAGTCCCCCAAGTGGTTGTAACCTGGTGGAAGCTTGCCCCTTAAAACTCCAAGCCCTGGGGAAGTTAATCTTTTACAGACATATAGCCCATGTTACCCAAAAAGTTGAGAAACGTTGGGTTTTTTAAAGAGGTAAGTAAGTTGTTGGTAACCCTTCGGTTTTGGTAACCACTTATAAAGTCCCCCAAGTGGTTGTAACCTGGTGGAAGCTTGCCCCTTAAAACTCCAAGCCCTGGGGAAGTTAATCTTTTACAGACATATAGCCCATGTTACCCAAAAAGTTGAGAAAAGTTGGGTTTTGTTTAAGAGGTAAGTAAGTTGTTGGTATTCATTCGGTTTTGGTAACCACTTATAAAGTCCCCCAAGTGGTTGTAACCTGGTGGAAGCTTGCCCCTTAAAACTCCAAGCCCTGGGGAAGTTAATCTTTTACAGACATATAGCCCATGTTACCCAAAAAGTTGAGAAAAGTTTCTTTTTTTCAGAGGTAAGTAAGTTGTTGGTAACCCTTCGGTTTTGGTAACCACTTATAAAGTCCCCCAAGTGGTTGTAACCTGGTTATAAGGGGGTTATACCCGAAGTGACTTGGGTGTTCGGCCAAGTTAGCAAGTTGATGGAAACCTGGGCTACAACCCACTTGTAAGTCCCTCTAAGTGGGGCTGACCTTGTTGTACGGGGGGTGCTAACCACCTACTAACTTGGCCGAACATCCAAGCGGCACCAAGAAAAAAGATCCAGTCGGTTTCTTCCATTTGAGATCCGAAAGCTGTCCTTCAGGGTGTTCGCACCCCCCCCCCCCAACAAAAAAAGAAGTAAAGGTGGCAGGGCTAGGGGGTGAGGGGGGTTGATTGTTGGGGGAGAAGTCGTTTGCTGTTTCATCATCTTAACCCCCTCATATCTGCGTCGTTGCTTGTGTCTCGATCCCCTTGCGCCCCGCAGCGAAACGTTTCGAAGAATCCTTCGTTGCCACGCAGCCATCCAGAACCATCTCATGAGAAGCTCTCAAATGCCCACTGGCCATGGGAACAAAAAAACATGTTTGGTGGGCCCTGGGTTGATTCATCCATTTGCTTCAGTAGTGAAAAAGTCCATCTTCAGTAGTGAAAAAGAATGGAGCAAATATGTCCAGTGAAATCGATTCCCTTTCAAATCAACAGGGGAACTATATATATATATGGTCCCGTGTTCCGTGTTGCTACCCCCCCCCCCCCCATATGGTATGGGTCCCCCAGGACCCCCCCCCCCCCGGCCCGAGCCCCCGGATCCTGTCACCTACGGTCCCACCCCCACCCCGACCCCCTGAACTCGCACCCCGACCCCGGCAACCCCACCCCCAGGACAAGCCAACCCGCAACCAACCATAAACCAACCCTAAACTAACCCTAAACGAACCCTAAATACCCGTTAAACCAAACCCTAAACCGTAGACCTCTAAACCTAAACCAACTCTAAATCAACATAAACCAACCGTAAACTAACCCTAAACCAACCCTAAACTAACCCCAAATGCACCCTAAACCAATCCCTAAACAATAAACCCTAAACCTAAGCCAACCCTAAACCAACCCTAAACTAACCCTAAACCAACCCTAAACCAAGCACTAAACCGTAAACCTAAACAAACCCTAAACCAACCCTAAACCAACCCTAAATCAACATAAACCAACCCTAAGCCAACCCTAAACTAACCAGAAATACACCCTAAATATACCCTAAACCAATTCTAAACCAACCCTAAACCACCACAACCCAACCACAGGACCACAACCACAGGGGGGGGGGGGGTACTTGTCTGACCCATGACCATTGGTGGGGGGGGGGGGCTGGCAACGCTGTACCATATATATATATATATATATGTATAAAAACGAACAAAAAAAGCAAGTGGAAGGATTTGAACCCTTCCCCAAAAAACCCAGCGGGCACCTCCAGCTAGGTGTTCCTGGATTCCTTTTGCTTTCCCCCATAACTCCCGAGTCCCGATTGCTTTGGGGGCCTTCAATTGGGTTGTTCTTGAGGGTCCCGGGTCGGGGTCGGGGTTCTCCATTTGGGTCCAGGGGAGGGGTCTGCCTTGGAGGGGTCATGACCCTTGGGGTGAAGAAGAAAAAGAACGGTGGGTTGAGTTGAAAAAAAACAACCTTCCCAAACAAGTTGAGAAACAAGTTGACGGAAGCCACAAAAAAACCAGGTACGTGGTGTTCCTTGTGGTTTCCTGAAGACAACAACGTCCAAAACGGGGCGCGCGATTTGTCCGACCAATGCGAAGCTCTCCTTCAGGATGTCTAGGCAGATCGCCCCGTTCGAATTCACGTTGCAGTGGTAGATCTTCGTGGTGAAGTTCACCTAGGCGAAGGCCGAAGGCCGGTCCAATGCAGCTTTTCCCGTCCCGTTTCTTTTGTTTTTGTTGGGTATGGGTGGCTCGTGTTTTTTCTTGGGGCGCCCCAAGAACCAAAACAGTGGATGTGCCTTTTGCGTTTAAGCGTTGTCTTTGTTTAGGGGCCCAGACCAAAAGGAGGCTCCCGACAAAAGACTGACCCATATGACGTCGACACCTCACTGAAGGTAGGAATTCGCACCATGTAAAACCAGGTTAATCGGCATGTACCCCACAAAAGCGGATAGCCTAAGGCCTGTGCGGCCGCCGAAACCCGATAGGAAAAACAAAGGACGCCCTGGATAGCCAAGTTGCTGCTTTTTTCAATCACTGTTGCTGGTTTTTAGGGTAAAGTGGATGGAAAAAAGCAGCAACTGGCGAGCCAAGGCATTTCTTTTTTGGGGTGGCGGCTCGTTTTTGGAGAAAAAAGGCCCGCATAGTGAGTCCAAAAAATAGGACAACCCCAAAACCAAGGACAATCCTGCGGTCCGATGGCTTAAAATCTTGAGCCCTACCCACCTGCGGAGTGACTTCGACGGGCTTTCCAGCCGAACCTCCAAACAGCCAATCCAAACTGCCAACGGTGAGCAGAAATCCGCTCACACAACTGACAAGCCGACGGGGGACTTGCCAAAACCGATACACTGGTAGTATTGTTCTAGCTGATGATATCCATCGGGGACCCTCTTTAATCATCTCGTGAAGATGGGTGTGCCTTCTTTTAGTGGACTTCCCAGAATGGGGGTTTTCCGTTTCTTTTCCTCTGGATTGCCTTATTTTTTTTAATTAACCGATCAATATGGGGCCTTTTGGTGGACATCAACTAGGTGGGGGATTTACCAACCACTGTTGAGGTGGTGCTGACTCCTAAAATCCATAGCCCGCTGTCAGCCTGTCATTTTGGCCCAGCCGTCTTTTGTGCGGTCTGCTTGCCATGGATAGGTGCGGATATCCGCCCTTCTGATTCTTGACATGTCTCAAAACAGGGGGGGACCTGCAAAATGTTGATTTCGGTTTCCCTTTGTTGAAAACCCCTTAGCCAACAAACGGACCCCTCAAAATTGACTCCTTGGTGTGGAGGAGACCAAGCTTACGTCAGGTCAGATCCCATCGGGTTCTGGTTTTTCGCTCAACAAGAACCAACACTTTGAATCACCAAACCAGCAATCCAACCACCAATTAGGGGTTTGTATGACATTCATAGCCAAGTGACTCCGCCAAGCAATGGGAAAAATCACAACAAATGGTGACTATGAACAACTAGGTGTTAAAGGGATATGGGTCTGTCTTTTTGAGGGAACCCCCTTTAAGAGGACACAACCCACCATTCTGGGGTCCCAAAAAAAAGGACACACCTATATAATGTATGTACATCCTTTCTATACTTTGTCATACAGGCATTGTATGTGTTTTTTTAGTCTCTGCCTCTCCCTTGTTGCACCCCCATCCTCCTGCGACTCGTCTTTGTTGTTTCTCTCCCCGCCTTCGGCGGCTTGAAAGGATAATCCGATGGGAACCTGAGTCGCAAGCCGGCCTGAAGCTTCCCTGAATGCTTCGTATCACTCACTTCCTCGGGGGGACGGGGGCGGCGGGGGGGGATTGGCCTGGTGATTAAATACGAGTGGTCTCACTGGGCTGGGGTGGCCAAAAGCGCAACCTCACGAAAAATATGTTTTCCAAACATTGGCAGTTGGCCGTCCGAACGGTTCGTACTCTGATGCCCGTCCATCTTGGCAGGGCTGAAGATCATTCAGTTTCTGTCTTCTAAATCTTGGGCCCCACATCAGCAGCCACTTGCTGCCAAAGCGGATGCAGGGAGGCTGTGAACAGAAAGTGTGTATGAGGCAAGCCTTTTGATGAACATTGGCAGAAAGAAACAATACAACTTCGAACATATGGAGGATGCATGAGGTAACTAGGGGCGGGTGAGTACAGGTTGCTCACTCATTGGAACGATGGCCGCTGGTTTGTCTTCATTCTTTCTCACGGCCCTGACTCTGATAGAGTCTTTTTTGCGGCTTACATTGCTGGTACTTGATCTCCCCTCTGACATCTGGGCCCGGGTTGATGCAGTACCAACGCTGGAAGCCATCAGCATGGCTCCTTTGAACGACTTCTCTCGATGTCTGCGTAGCTTGCCCTGACTGTTTGCATGTTGAAGATCCGATCCAGGCACATTCATAGATTCTCGTCCAACCCCAAAAAGTCTAAAGCCCACGGAACACTCGGCGAGTGACTCGTCCGGGAGTCCAATTTGCACATGTTTCACCGACTCCGTGTTCCTGGCGTTGCCTGGGTTCTGGGTCATAAATCTTTCTGAACTCTGAACATCCAAACGCTGAAATGGGGACCCAAAACAGGGTGGTGTTCCTCTTGGCTTGCCTTTAAAGCCAACCAGAAATGAAGGGTACCGTGGTTCAAGGAAAAGAGGCATGTTGGGTGCTGCACAAATGGTTGGATTGAAACGCAAACTCACCCAAGACAAATAGGAGACGAGGGTCATCAGATTCTTGTTGGCTGATTCAAGAGATGGGAAGAAGAACCCTGATCCGCTGTCGAGAGGGAACAACAAAACACGGGAGGCTGAATTACACTGAAACACTCGAATTGTCAATGTAAACGGCGAAAACCTTGCACCACCTAAGAAACCCTGGAATGATGGTTGCGAATACCAACAAACAATGACTTCCACTGGTCTTCAAAGTGGTGCGAACGGATTTCGCCATCCACAGTAGGACGAGCAGCACCGCGTTTGTCTCAAGGGAAATCAACGGACAGAGAAACCCCGCGTGCAGATTGCCTGGAACACCTCTCCAGAACAGCTTGAAGGCCACTGAGGGGGTGGGCTCCGGTTTTTCGTTGAATTCTCATATATATATATATATATATATACACACACATATATATATATATAGTTCTACTAGGTCCTCCAGTAGAGAAGTTAGAACAAGGGCACCCTTTTATCTGTAGTCGATTTTAGTAGGGGAACCCTCCCCCAAAAAAGGGTAAAAGGGCACTACTGGGGACCTAGTGTACATACATATTGTTTTTAACAGGGGAATTGACAACAGACCTTGCCATATGTGGAATCATGTGCTGTTTTTGAACGAAGGAACCACCAGTGGGATGGTTTAGATGAGGGGGTCAGACTCCACTTCTCCTTCCCTCGCTCTCGCACCAGCAGGACAGACACACACACACACACACCCACACCGAGTCACTTGAGAGAGCTTTTCTTCCAGCATGCGCGAATCAACCAAAGCAGTCAAGCGAGCCCTGAAACCCCTGCCGGAGGCCTGACACTCCCACAAATGAACACCGAACACCCAAGTACCAACCCCTTAACGGTTCTAAGTACCCCCCCAAACCCCTAAACCATTAGATCAGAAAGGTTGATTCAAAGGGTGATGAGGGGAAAACCCGCCGGAGAAATGGCTCACCCTGCCCCTAGTTGGTGGTTTGGAGCCCGACCATACAACACATACCAAAGCCCCAAAAGAGTCAGAATCAACACCGATCTGTACCCAAACCGATGAACAGGATCTCACTTGGAAATAAAAGGTGAACCTTGTGGAACCTGGACGAAATGGCCATGGGTCAAACCCCGTACCTGTGAACATCCCCATCCCTACTCACATAGACTAAAATGGGTGGTGCGCCTATCCTATCCCAAAATGGTACCATTGGTTTTGAACCATGGCCAAGTATCGACCAAATCAGGCAAGCCAAAAGGTGAAAAGGCCGGCTTTGGGCAGAGGAATGTAACATGCCTGGTCCCTTACTAAACTTCATCCGCCTGGGTTTGATGCTGGCCACCCATCCAAAGCAGCGAAGGCAAACCCGAAATATCCGGGCTGTGCGTGTTCAGATCTGCGAACAAGCGGGTTCAATGGAAATCCCAACCACTAAACCACCTTAAAAGCCTCCTCAAAAGCGCCGGAACAGGATGGCTGGTTCCCACCAAGCTTCTAGACCCACACTGTTTTAACTGCCTCCGGCTGGTCTGCCTTTCAAACTGCGTTAGGGGTTGGTTAATTGAGAAAAATACACCAGCATAGACCGAATGTGCTTACTAAAGATGCTCATTCCAATAACGTGCCATGCCACCTGGCAGAGCGGCCAAAATAATTCTCACAACAGAATGCTCTGGCAATTTGCTTGCCGCAATCTGCACTAATATTCAACATTGGTACGGAGTTTTGGGTTTGCAGGGGTCTTCCGACGCGCCGTCGCCGGGTCCGGCACCCTAGTCTTCCTGGAGCGCTTCTTCTAGCTATCAGCTTGCGTTGGCGAAGCCGTTGAGAGGCGGCGCGCTGAGCAAATCCACCAAAACATCGGCTCTGAGAGGCGGCGCCCTGTAGCTGCAGCACCCTGCGACCAGCAGCACCCTGAAGCAGCACCCGGCGCAATTCTGAGTCTCAGCCTGCTGGCAGCACCCTGCAACAGCACCCTGCACAGAGTCCCGGTCTGCCAGAGGACGCGCCCCTGCAACAGCGCCCTGCGCAACTCTGAGTCTCGGCCTGCAGCAGCACCCTCAACAGCAGCTTGCAACGGCGCCCTGAACAGCACCTGGCGCCGGAATTCTGAGTCTCACCCACCGTTCATTACTTGAAGTTAGAACCCCTATAGCTTTCAGCTATCTGGGGAAAAAGGAGATGGCCAAGTCCATCGAACTTTTCGTGGGTTAAATGGGAAACCCCAAACCCCCACTTTATTCCCGAACAAAGAAGCCCATCCAAAGCTCCGGGCCGGCTCGCTGCCCGTCCGAGCGCCGTGCTGGATGTTCAGAAAGAAGACCCCCCCGGAGTAAGGGCACTCCGTTGGGCCCATGATGCTGGCCTCGCGCGACCCGCGAACCGCGAACCGGGAGAGACGTTCTTTGGTCGGGTCCAGTTGGGTCTCTCTTTTTTGTTGGTGGGGGGAGGGGACCCCTGTTTGGTTTTGTGTTTTTCCTTTTTTGGAGGGGAACGCCCCTTTTTGGTGGGTTTCAAAAGGAACCCAATGGCAAAAACATGTTTTCTGTTTATTTTTCTTTTTTTTTGGGGGGGGGGGTTGAGGTGGGCGGGGGGGGACCGTGCCATAGACACCTAGAGTTTATTTTGCAACCATACCCCAAGACCCTAAAAGAAGGAGGTTGCAAAATAGACCCTAAGTGTCCACCATACGGGGGGGGACCCCTTTTTGGGTGTCTTTACTTTTGTTGGGGGGGGACCCTTTTTGGTTGGTTTCGAAAGGAGCCCAAAAGGAAAACCACCATTTTGGTGGGTGTCCTAAAAAGAGACACACCCATTTGGATGTCCCGCCCCGAACCCCCCCCCCTCCCACAAGCAAGCAGTGGACTGTTTACCCATTGACGTGGTTGGTGTCCCTTGGCTTCTCCTGAAACCCATGCAAACGAGCAACCCCTGTGTTGAGAAACGCCAATCTCCAAATATGTTCTCAAAATGCACTTGAGGTGTTGGTGTTCCTGCTGGTGTCCCGTTTAAACCCCACAAAAACCCGGGGCTTCCCCAAAGAGCCGACAAATTGTGGTATTCCTGTTGGTCTCCCGTTAAAACCACACAAGAAGAAGGTTCCCCCCAAGAAAGATAGATCCATATCGGACCCGGGCCTTGCTTGTGAAGAATAACACTTTCTGTGAACCTGGGGTCCTTTACTGGGGTGATCGTTGCCAAGTTAGAAAACTGCTGGGAACATAGGTGTCCTTTTTGGTTGAAAATCGAGGGGTTGATCGAGACACCGGGAAAACCCGGGAATCGCCCGAAATATGTCTTAACCAAATCAACCAAGAAGGGGCCAACCCTGTTCTCGGTTGCGACATCTGCAAAGCCCTGCTAAAAGTGACTCTAACCTTTAGTGGTTTCATTCGGAAAACCCAACAACGTTGGCAAAAAGTTAGTTAAAGTCCTAACATCCCTTGGCAAAATGCAACAACGTGTTGTTCGTGAGCGGTAACCCAGGTGGCCAACCACCTAATCTAGGGGTACCTTCCCCATTCTTTTCAGGGATCCTTCTTTCTAGAAAACCTCCCGAAACCCAGGGAAAATAGATCCGGTTGTTGAAAAGAACGATGGTTGAAAAGAATGGACAAGGAAACAACCCCTAGAATAGCGAATCCGCGTCATGTTTGGATAATGTAAAGTTTCCACCCTTCTTGAGGAAGGAGGGGGGGAGGGGAGGGGTAAAGGAATCAACCCCTTGAACTAAGTTGGTTCTGGTACTCCGCGGGCAGGTGGTTTTGCGCTGCAAAACAAAAAGAGTGCGATCCGCGGGGGGCCGCTCTCCACCACCCAAAACTCAGCCCCACACCCAAAACCCAGAAGCACACAAGAACTCGAATCCAAACAACAACCAAAAAAACGGGAAAAACAAAAACTCCCCCCCCCCACAAAGAAAGAACAAAACAAGCAAACAAAGCCTCTAACTCCCGTCCCCTCTCCCCCTCGTTCGTTTTCAAAGTGTGCGAAGCACGGCGCCTGCCAGTTGAACATGTCCACCCCCACCGGCCCCGCGGAGCAGTTCGCCGGCGGATCGTTGCCCAGGTCCTGTCGCGAGTTTCGCGAGTCCCGTCGCCCGGAAACCCGCCGAAGCAAAAACTGCTCCCCGAATGGGACGAAACAAAAGGTGGGGTTGTCTCGTTGTTTGAGGGCGCGCATTTGTTCGGTGGTCTGTGACTTTTGGGGGCTCCTAAAAAAGACACAGGTGATCACCTGGGGCCATCCAAAATAGAAGGAAGCCAAGAGGTAAAAGGGTCGATTCGCTTTGGACAACTTGGAGAAGCACACCCAGCTGCCCCGGATGGGAGGGTTTGAAACTCTTTTTGTGAAGTCGGTACCCCTTTTCTGGTGATTTTGGCGGGGCCGCCTAAAAAGACACACAGGTCTAGGTCGATTCGCTTTGGACAACTGGAAAAAGCAAACTTTGTGCCTCCCTCCCAGCTTTCAGTTTCGAAAACGACGAGGCTCCCAGATTTGTCAATCAGAACATAGGCTATGGTTACGCTCAGCCCTGAAACAAAAAAAGAAGTAGCTTTGCCCATGAGAAAATGAAAAGCGGGTATTTGGACTAGGGGGCAGTTTTCAGTTTGCTAGAAACGCTGGATCACTAAACTGTTCTAAGATGGTGTCCAAGGAAATTGCGCATTTGCTCAAACAACCGAAAGGTCACCGGCGGGGCTTCGGTGGCTTCCGCCATTTATCATGCACCCGGCCCCAACCTTGGAGGGCGAATCAGCTTTCTCCCCTTTCCAGACACCCCCAAAAAAAATCGGGGGGGGGGGGGGGGGGGCTCCAAAAAACAAAGAGCACCGTGAGTGAGTGGTGGTGAAGGGAGAGACAGCGGAAGGGGAACGAGAGCACTGGACGGACGAGTCGCACCTTCTCCCCCCTGCCTTAAGGGGGGGGGTGGGGGGGTCCCCCAATTCCATTTCTTCAGTCTTCCGAAAGGGAAAATGGGTTGCCCTAAATGGAATTTCAGGGGTCACCCCCCTCCCCCAATTCCCATTTTGAAGGGGGGTGGAAATTCTCAGCTTCTCCATGTACTTTCTCCCCTGAAGACTTCGGGTTCTGGGGCTCAGGCGCCCAACCAACCAACCAACCAACCAACCAACCAACCAACCAACCAACCAACCAACCACTCACTCACTCACTCACTCACTCACTCACTCACTCACTCACTCACTCACTCACTCACTCACTCACTCACTCACTCACTCACTCACTCACTCACTCACTCACTCACTCACTCACTCACTCACTCACTCACTCACTCACTCACTCACTCACTCACTCACTCACTCACTCACTCACTCACTCACTCACTCACTCACTCACTCACTCACTCACTCACTCACTCACTCACTCACTCACTCACTCACTCACTCACTCACTCACTCACTCACTCAGCCCTGGGGAAGTTAATCTTTTACAGACATATAGCCCATGTTACCCAACAAGTTGAAAAGTTGTGTTTTTAAGAGGTAAGCTCAATCAACCAACCAATCAATCAACCAACGGCAAAGTCTGACCGGACTGAAAAACACGCGCCTCTTGGCTCACCAAAAGTGGCTCCAACGCGTCTGCACCGCGATGGACGTCTCATGTTGAGCTTCCATTTGCGGTTTCGCCCCCGGGAAAAAATATGTCCAGCAGTGATAGATTCCCTTTTACACCAACAAGGGGAGAAGAAAAAAAAAGAAAAACATCTTAAGCGAATGGAAGGAACTGAAAGGAAGCCGTCAAGACACTTGGAGGAAACTAGGCCAAATAGCTTCCACGTGGAAGGGAGGCTAGATCTGAGAGCAATGGGAATTCCGGCACATCCCTCAACAGAAGGCGTGATAGAACTACTCCCGCCCAGTGCAGGTTCGGGGATAGTTCCAACCCAAGTTAATCTTTAAGCTGAGCTTGGCAAGCTCAGCAAAAAAAACCTATAACCTCCCCCCCGTGCAAATCCAAGTTGGCCCCCTTTGCTCTGGAAGAAGCAACAGCAAATCCAAGGCAGCGGCAAATTGCAAGCCCAAGCATCCGATCAACAACTCCATCCCTTGCCCTGTCTCTGCTTCTACTGTTGACTCCTGATAACCCTCGCATTTAATTAGTTCTGGGGGGTCTCCAAAAACAAGAGATTCCGCACTAAAAGGGGATAATCAGTGGGGGTTGATTAATGTTGACCCCGTATTATGAATGAACCCCAGCTTATTAAATTCGGGGGTGGGAGCCCCTCCAAAGGCGGTCTGATTCCCCCACATTCCACCCAAATTGGCATCCCCCTATCAATAGACTGGGGTTGATTAATACTGTGGATGGACACCCCCTAAGAAACCCTGGTTTCGAATGATTCCCCATAAATACCAGCAAACGGTATGGTGTCAACCATGGTTCCAAACCGGTGCGGTGCTGGATTTTGTCCATCAGTAAAGGGGCCAACATTCCCCTAGCATTCCTTGCCCCCATTAAAAGCAAGGCCCAAGGGGGCCCAATTTGGATGATGACAATCCTGAACGGTAAACAATGGTGGTTCTATCAACCCAACCATAGTTTTAATGGTTTGAACCCCAAAGTTCGTTGGACTCCAACAAGGTGGTGAAGCGGGGGAGTTGATTTCTTAACCAGCTTCACAAGTCCACTCAAACTGAGATGAGTCGCTTTTTTCCAAACCCGGTATTTGAAACATTTGAGCCTGACCATTGTTTTTTCTGGTGGCTGGCCGAAAAAACTGAATCCCAGGGGCTCGGGGCTCCCTCCCCCAAAAAAGTTGGTAAAAGTTGGCACCTAGCTGGGGGGCCTAGATTGTTTTACTGGTGGCCGGCCACTGAATCCCAGGGGCTGGGGAGTCAACCAGGGGCTCGTCCCACCTGCAACTCCTTCTGTATGCGCTTCAATGCCATGGCGCGGACCTAGCTCGACTCGCGATTCGTCTCACGCCCGGTTGGGCTCTCCGACCCCCACTGCAGCTCAAGCCGACGGCCGCAAGCGCAAAGCATCGGAGGTTTTTTCTTGGGTGGTTTCCCTTGCGAAGCCGTCGTCTCATGAAACACCTTGTCGTTTCTGGGCCTGGTTGACCTTGACAGGGCGTGTGGGCGTGTTAATCAAATGAAAGATTGTATTGAGCTCCCTACACCCATTAACCCAATTTCCACCTGATCAGAGAATAGGGTATGATTTGTCAACCTCTGACCAAAAACAAATACCCATGACAAAAGCCCGGCTCTTCAAAATCTGCCAACTGGAAAAAGCGGGAGTTTGGAGCACGGGGCAAGAAACTGCGATACCAAACGTTGGCATCGCTTCCCAAGCCTTTTCTATAGGCAGCCGGAATCCAGGTCCTTTGTGACTACAGGCCAAGAAAAGGGATCCTTAGGTCCTTGTGTGACTACACCAAGGCCAAAAAAAGGGATCCTTCTGAAAGTCACACCTTGGAAGGCTCCCCCCGGCGCAAGGTCGCCAAGGTGGCCGCTGGGTCCCGTTTTTCTTTTTCCCGGCACTGGGAGGGCAGAACACCGATCCAAACCGGGGATTGCCCAGAAGGAGACCTACTGGTTGCGACCTCCGCTCGCACCGTTCGGAAACCCAAAGGATGGATTGGATTTTCCCAGGTAAATATCAAGAAACGTTGTGGGTTCAACCAGAAGGGTGCAGGAGATTGCGTGGTTGTGCAGATGGACCTCCCTTTGGATGCTTGGAACAAGCTGTCGAGGTGTTGCCATTCGGGACAAGGATGGCATGGGGATTCCACCCAGGGACTGCAGGTTGAAGAATAATGTTGACCCAGAATTAATAAACCCGTCCCATTCTTAGGGGGGTGTTCCTTCCAAAATTGAGTCAAATCCCCACTAAAAGGGGACACCCCCCAATCAAAGTCAACCAGGGGTTTATTAATCCGGGGTTAACAAAAAATGCATGCCCACTCCTCGCCTTTGGGGCCTTGTGGTCCCGGAGTATCCGGAAGGAATCACGAAGTGGTCAGATACATTCCGAGCTCCTCCCCTAGTTTCAACCACCGAGAAACCCTTGCAATTTGGGCGTCCAAACATTTCGCGACTCCATTAGCACAACACTGTGGACGGACGAAATCCTGCATCAACTAAGAAACCTTGGAAGGATGATTCCCCTGTAAATACCAACGAACAACGGGTTCCCATGGTTTCCAAGTGGTGCGGACGGCTTTCGTCCATCCACAGCATCATTCCCCCCATTCCCCTTCCAATGGAAGCTGGTCGACGGCGCGCAAGCCCACAATCGACATGACACTTTCATCTGACAAGGTGAGGAGTTGCTCAAAGCCCCGTTGTTTCAAGGAAGCCAAGCTGAGTCACCAAATGAGCACAAACAAAAAACAGGCCACCTCAATCATTGTGTTTTGTTGAAAGTACCTCTTTTGCAAAGTTTTGGGAAACCAATAGGAACACCGCAATTTGGGGGTCCTCTTCAAAAAAAAACGAGCCTCCCCATTGTTGGCAAGAGGGAAAACGCCAAGGCCTCTGCACCGCCCGCGACCAGTCGTTGTCGTCTTTTTCTGGAATAAGGATCACAGCCATCGAGCAGCCGACGCGTCGGCCCTGTACAATGCTCTGGCCGGCGCAAGCAGCGTAAATTGAGTTTGCTTCATACAAGTATCCGAAACACTACTAGGTCCTCCAGTAGAGAGGTTAGAATAAGGCTACCCGATTTTTTATGTAGTCTATTCCCGAAAGCATGGCGAAGGGTTCTTCCGCTGGGTTCTCTTGAGTTGTTCTCATGAGAGTCATTACAAGGTGTCATTGCAAGGAATCATCATCATGAAAGTCATTGCAAGGAGTCATTGCAAGGAGTCATTGCAAGGAGTCATTGCAAGGTCATTGCAAGGAGTCATTGCAAGGAGTCATTGCAAGGTCATTGCAAGGAGTCATTGCAAGGAGTCATGAGAGTCATTGCGAGCTGCGCATGGAGTCAAGTGCAAGTTGCAAGTGCAAGGAGTCAAGTGCAAGTTGCAAGTGCAAGGAGTCAGGTGCAAGTTGCAAGTGCATGGAGTCAAGTGCAAGTTGCAAGTGCAAGGAGTCGAGTGCAAGTTGCAAGTGCAAGGAGTCAAGTGCAATTGACTTGCGAGGAGTTAAAATCTCTTCTTAGGGCGGCGGGGTAGTGCCGACGACACTACACGAAAATCGACCCTCTGCGGGGATCGGCGTGGTCGAGGTGCAAAAACCCATGGTTTTTTGCGATTTCTAAATGCTCGCGCGACCCTCTGCGGGGATCGGCGTGGTCGAGGTGCAAAAACCCATGGTTTTTTGCGATTTCCAACATGCCCGCGCGACCCTCTGCGGGGATCGGCGTGGTCGAGGTGCAAAAACCCATGGTTTTTTGCGATTTCCAACATGCCCGCGCGACCCTCTGCGGGGATCGGCGTGGTCGAGGTGCAAAAACCCATGGTTTTTTGCGATTTCCAACATGCCCGCGCGACCCTCTGCGGGGATCGGCGTGGTCGAGGTGCAAAAACTCGAGGTTTTTTGCGATTTCTGCGGTGCTCGCGCAACCCTCTGCGGGGATCGGCGTGGTCGAGGTGCAAAAACTCGAGGTTTTTTGCGACTTTTGTTGTTCGAACTGGTCCTCGGGAGTTGTCTCGTGGTTCGCGCGCCTGCTCCCGGAACCGGCGGGTCGCGGGTTCGATTCCTCCCTGGTCCGCGGGCGGGCGTCGCAAGATGCAACTTGCATTTTAAAGCAACTTGCGCAGAGCAAGTTGCAGAGCAACTTGCAAACTTGCACCGACCAGTTTGCGCAGAGCGCCTTGCCTAGAGCAACTTGCGCAGAGCAACTTACGCAGAGCAACTTGCGCAGAGCAACTTGCACAGAGCAGCTTGCACAGAGCAACTTGCAGGGAGCGCAATTTGCACAGAGCAACTTGCAGGGAGCCACTTGCAGGGACCAACTTGCCGGAGCAACTTGCGCGGAGCAACTTGCGCAGACACAGTCTAACTTGCGTAGAGCAACTTGCGCAGACCAACTTGCACCGACCAGTTTGCGCAGAGCACCTTGCCTGGTGCTGTCTCGCGCTTGCTTCACAAATGCTTCGTGTAGGGATGCAGCGTTGGGCCGACCTCGCTTGCGATGTTCTGCTTTCGGGCCAACCGTGGTCTAGTTTTAGTTGGGGAACCCTCCCCCAAAAGAGGGTAAAAGGGCACTACTGAGGAAACCTAGACTAGCATTCTGCTATGGCGGAACTTGGTTTCAAAGTATCCCACCAGCACATGCGCATGGTTTCCAAAACCACAGAGAGGTCAAGCAAAACCGTCAACACGGGGTGTCTTTTTTAAGGGAGCCCGCCAAAATTGTGGTTGTCGTTTTGATTTCCCCTTAAAACTTACCAACAAGGGGTAAACCGTCAAAAACGACACACTCAGACGTTGGATGACTCAAATCAGAAAAACCAAAATGCATGAATTCGGGGTCCGGGTAGGTTTTGGCCTCACTCCGAATTGTTCGAATTGCAACACAGCCGAAACCAAACGTGCTCCAGGAGTGGTTTTTGGAGCTTGGCAAAACAGACAGACTCAAAGAAGCCGAGTAAAACCACCAGGGTTAAGTGCCAAGGCATTTGGTGGGAATGGGGGAGTGGGAGTTTTGCTCAACAACATCCGCTTTCGGCGTCCTTTCGGAGAAAAAAACATAGACAAAAAGAAAAAACATGGATGATATGGGGATGTCACGTCCAAAAAATATAGTTTGATTCCCAACGTGGGAAATTCTACACCTGTAATCCGGCCTCCGCGGTCTTCTGATACATGCCCCATGGTCAAAACCAAGGTCTATAAACTCGCCATGTTACATGTGCGGGTCAACAAAAGTGTCTGCTTTTGTTGAGGCTCGGTACTCATTTGGGGGCAAACCACAAGGTAAACCACCTTGTTTTGGGGGGGGTCCCCTAAAACAGCCACAAACGCGCCCACATGAGTCTCAAAATGTGGCGGTTTCCCTGTTCAACCCTTCGGACGAGCTCGCGCCGGGCAGTTGAAAAGCCCGTAGGGCCGGCTGGGCGGCCCCTGTGCAAGCCAATGCCCAAGTTTGGAGGAACTTGCAAAGAGAACTTGGGCTTTGGCCGTCTGGATTCGCACTCGGTGCAACCTTTGCCACAGGTCTGTCCCCCAACAGGCAGTGATCAAATGACCATTGGACCGTTGGACCTTTTTGCTGCAGTTCGCCAAAGCTTCACGAGTCGCGCTCACAGAAGACACCCGAGAAAAAAGAATCACACGCCCAGGTGGTATCCCCAACAGCCCCTTTGAACCCAAGCAAGTCATTTTCTAGGAATGAACCAAATCGGAGAAACCAAAAGGTTAAAAAGGTCGGCTTTGGGCAAGTGAGTGGATATAATTGAACACAAACTATTCAAAAAAAACACACACACAATTGAATTCGACCTTCAATTGCATGTCATGTCCACCAATCATTTCATGTTCACCAACTTTGAAATACAACATAATAGGGTTCCTTACATTATACACCTAAACATTGCCTTGTAAATGGTGGTTTCGCTTCATTTTGGTGGAAAAAGCCATCTTTCAATTGGGCAAAATGTATCTTTTAAGGAGCCCTGCATCATCTCGGAGGAGACCCCAGATTCCACCGTGCATCCGAGTGGTGTACTTTGCACTCAATGCGGCTCTTAGAAAAGCGCGCCGAATTAAGGTGCAAACCGTGGTCAAGCATATTCACAGTGGCACCAAAGCTGCCCCGGCAGCTGTAACACACATAGTTCTGGAAAAAGGAAAAGACAGTTGTCTGTGATTTTGGTTTCCTAGGTCCTCCAGTAGAGAGGTTAGAATATGGGTACCCTTTTTGCTGTAGTCTACTTTAGTAGGAGAACCTTCCCCCCAAAGAAGTTGGTACAAGGGCATCACTGGGGGACGGGAAAGGGAAAGGACGGTTGTCTGTGATTTAGTTTCCTGGGATATGGACGACACATGTGGCAAATATCCATCCAAGCACAACTGGTCTATCAATTTGGGATTGTGTTCTTGCAGGGAGAAAAGGTTGAAAGAGGAAAAGTGCACACCACTGAATTGGGTTGGGTCCCCTGGTTCCAGAAAACAACAAAACAAGCAAGCAGTTGACTGAGGGGGGTTATCATGGCAAAGCGCGGGTTGATTCAATGGGCCTAGCTTTCCTGTCTCCCAAATCCTTGGTCAAGTGGTTCATCAGCCCAGTGCTGGGCCCATGTTCGAAGGGTCAAGGATTGAACACATGAATCTTGGCAAGACTGTTTGTTGCAGGTCGAAACGAAAATGACGGAAACCCAAAATGAGAAAAGGGCCAAAAAGTTGGCTAAGACGGCAATGGATTGGTGAAGACCAAAAGCTGCAAAGGAAAGGTTCAAGATTCTTGGAAGGGCACAAATTAGACCCGTGCTGATCTAGGATTTGAATACCCATTCTTTCACGATCGTTCTCTTCTCAATCACCCTGCCGACCACGTGTTTGGTCTGTAAAGAAGGATCCCAGTTTATGAATAGGGGGTTGCCCCTCCAAAAGTGATGATTCCCCACGCCGAAGGACACCCCCCGGATTCATAAACTGGGGTTGAGTAGTATCTGGGCTGCCCTCAGATCTCCTGCTACAAGTTTTTAACTTTTAGTGGGTTAGATGGAAACTACGTCAAACTACCACTAAACCAACTAAAAAGCTAAAAAGCTAAGGAACCGGACGGCTGGAAGCCATCCAGATATGGGGTCAACACTATTTGGTTCTTCCCTCGAACGAACGTGGAACCAAAGTCCAGGCGAGCTGCAAGGTCGTAAGCAACGTTCAGCGTTTGTCTGCGGGAGTTGCGTGTTGCACCCTGCAATTCCTCCATCTGCGAATACGCCCTAAAACAAATGAGCAAATATATCCGATAGTGATAGATTCCCTTTAAACCAACAGGGGGTTGATATTCTTTATGTTTATTTACATATATAGACAGAGCATAAACAAAGCTTAAGCAAATGGAAGAATCACACCCTTGGGAGACGACGAACGAATCTTCATCAACATTAGACGATTCCTCTGCCGGTGTCAGCTCTGTCACCAAGACTTTGTGAAACTCGGCGCAATGCCCGCTCGCCGCTAACGTGCCGTCCAGGGAATATGCTCTTGACGCATTGATTCGGCAACATGGGATGCTGGTCCAGTTGGGGTGATCACTGACTACCTAGAGGCTCCTCTAAATCCATCGGAAGCCTCTGGGTATTAAACAAGCAGGGAGGGTGTGTGTCAACGCAGGAGACCCCGAAATTGTGTTCCTTATTATTTTCCTTGAAAAGCAACCCCAAAAACGGGCACCATGGAGGATTCTTCTAAGGACACCTTCCCCATTCTTTCCAGGGATCCTTATTTTTAGAAAACCTCCGGAAACCCAGGGTTTTTGAAAAGAAAAGAATGGAATCGGAATCAACCCCTGGAATAACATACTACGGTACCCTCCCCAAAGGCCTCACTTTGTCTTGACTCCTCCCCACCCCCCCCCTAAACCCCACCCCCCCCCGGCAAAAAAAAACAAACTCACCTATGGAATCAACCCCTAGAATTCGAATAACCTGGTTGCGATGGCTTAGGGATTGCCACTGGACGGGGAATTCGAGAGAATTCGCGGGCCTTGCGGCCGGCCTTAGGCGCGGTCTACGCGCACCACCTGAGGCCGAAGGGTGGCGGGCAACACACCGGGGTGGCTCGTATTATTCAATTTTGTATGTGTTTTGTTTGTTTTTCTTTTTTTTTCTCATTTTTTTAAACTTGGGTGCTCAGCCAACTTAGTCAGTGGTTAACTAGTAACCTGGGTTGGAACCAGCCCAACTCACTCACAAGTGAGTTATACCCCAGGTGTGTTCACCTCTTACTAACTTGGCCGAGCACCCAAGCACCCCCTTTTGGTTGGTTTGAAAGGGAAACCAAAGGGAAACCACCATTTTGGGGGCCGAAAAAGACGCACCCAACTTGAGGAGCCTCAGGGTAAACCATGTTTACGCCATTTTCTAACAACCTCTCGATGGACGAATTCATTTCGCAGCACCTAAGAGACCCTGGACAAGGTGATTCCCCTGTAAAGGCCTTCAAAGTGGTGGGGAAACGGATTTTGTCCAGCCAGTGCTTCAGCCAAATCCGCCCAAGCCACCGGACAATTTGCAGGGACGCATTTTCAATTTGAGAAAGAAACGCGCCTTCCTTCACCTGCTTGACAGCGGGAATGCATCGCCCACGTTTCCATGGACGGGTACACCCCACGACAATCGGGGGTTGGATTTGAGCTGATATGGTTAATGAGCTGTGTGCTGTTTTTCAACAACAAGTCATTACAAACGGTGCTTTTGGCGTCATCGCACAGGGAGTCTGTTTGGGGAGGCGAAGTTCCCGTTGTTGGAGATAAAACATGCCCCCATCAGGCCTCTGTTTTTCTCCTAGCTCCTGAAGATTTGGCTTCTCTGTCGCCAGTGTGTTGACCCCACTCCAGATTCCCGCGACTTGTTCTTGATATATGTGAAAAAAAAGGGTCTTCCATTATACACGCCATTTTGTCCTTTTACGTCAGGAGTCGACACCATGCCCCAAAACTGGTGGGCATGGGGTGGCACGGGTGGATGATCTATCTCGCATGGGCTAGGGAGCGACGATCATCAGGAGACTAGCTATACCCTCCAGAAAGGAAGTAGTGTCAAGAAGCATCGGATGCTTCCCGTCGTGAAATTTACACCAGTTGCTAGCGGCGTTTGATCACCGAGGGACTATAGGAAGAGTCAAAAAAATCGGCTCCGCGCTTTGTCGTAGCTCTAACTGACAGACTTCAATAAACGAACCTCCTACTCCGAACGCTCACTTTTGCTGGGGTATATCTTGGGCAACAGGGGCAAACGAGGACCTCCCACTAGAACAAAGAAAGCCTTAGACAACCTCAGAATCCAGCTGGTACCATCTCTTGATCGGAAGTCCCCTTCAACTGCACCACTTGCGGGTGGTTGGCCGACTCCTTCGGTCGATCTATTCGGCTTCTTCAAGGAGGCCCAGAACTCCGAGCTGAGGCGGCGGCCGGATGACACGCCTGAAAAGAAGGCCGGTCAGTTGGTCTATGGGCGAGGGAAAACACTTCTTATTGGTTGTTCTCTCTTGTTTACAGATCTCCAGAAGGGCCCGCCATGGGGCCTGCGTTTGTGAAATACCTGAAGAACTCAGAACAACACGCATCAGTACACCATTCCCATGCACTCTGGAACAGGACAGGTGACCCAAACCTCGAGAAAACCAACAAAAACACAAAAACCTGGAGAAAACTCGAGAAACCCTGAACCCCCCCCCAAAAAAAAAAACTGGAAAGAGAAAGAGAAAGAGAAGGGGAAAGAGAAAGAGAAAGAGAAAGTGATAAAGAGAAAGAGAGAGAGAGAGAGAAAGCGAGAAGAGAGAAAGAGAGAAAGAGAGAAAGAGAGAAAGAGAGAGAGGGAGAGAAAAAAAGAAAGAGAAACAGACAGAGAAAGGGAAGGAGAGAAAGGGAAAGAGAAAGAGAAAGAGAAAGAGAAAGCGAAAGCGAAAGAGAGAGAGAGAGATAGAGAAAGAGAGAGAGAGAGAGAGAGAAGAAAAGAGAGAGAGAGAGAGAGAAAAAATAAAATAAAGAAAGATTAAGAGAAACAGAGGGAAAGAGAGACATAAATATATAACATTTTGCATTTGTCAAGCGAGGGAAGCGAATGTACAGCGGCGCGCGCGGAGTTTAGCGTTGGAAGGGGAAACCTTATTTTGGGATTTGTTTTTTGTTTTCGTTTTTCGTCCGGGCCAGTAAAATGTCGTATTTTACAGCATTGTCTCGCGAAATTGAAGCATTTTACACTAGCCCGTCAACATCCCCAGCATCGTTTTCAACATCCTTCGCATGTCCGACCAACATCCCTAGCATCACCAACAAATCGTGGCTAACAAAATCCCAAAAGTAGCTGGCGGGTTGACGGGGTTTTAAAAAAAATATTCAAATAGGAGGGCAATTCAATCCCTGTAAAAAAAAAAAAAAGTAGCGGGGGGGTTGGGGGGGGGCGGCAGCCCCTCCCAGGATGTTCGCAGAAGTGATGATTCGAATAGGTGCAATTAAATCTCTGCAAAAAGTCTAAAAAGTAGCGGGGGGGTTGGGGGGGGCGGCAGCGCCCCCATGATGTTCGAAGAATTGATGATTCAACTAGGGGTGCAACTAAATCTCTGTAGAAAATCTAAAACGTAGCGGGGGGGTTGGGGGGGGGCGGCAGCCCCCTCCATGATGTCGGAAGAAGTGATGATTCAAGTAGGGGTGCAATGATTCAAGAAAGGGCGCGATAGAATTTAAAAGGCAGCGGGAGGGTTGGCGGGGGTGACTTCCCCTATGATGTTCGAAAAAGTGCATACATACAGACATACATGGATTACACAGATTACCTAAAATGTCGTATTTTGCAGCATTTTCTCGCGAAATTGGACGCTCAAATAGGGGTGCAATTCAATCTCTGCAAGAAATCTAAAAAGTAGCGGGGGGGAGGCGGCAGCCCCCCCCATGATGTTTGTTGAAGTGTTGATTCAAACAGGCAATTACGCTGCAAACAATCTAAACAGTAGCGGGTGGGTGGGGGGGGGGGGCTTCCCCCCCCATGATGTTCGAAGAACTGATTCAAATAGGGAGGAACTGGTGATGCTGATGATGCGGGAAGCCAAATCCAAAAACCAATGAAAGGGTGCAAAAGCCAAAAAGCCCGGAGAGGAAATGGGAAAGCAGAGGATGCGAAAAGCCAAAGCCGCCAAAGCCGCATAAACCAGCGAAAAGCCGCAAAAGCTAAAACGCCACCTGCCGAAGAGGAACTGGGAATGCAGAGGATGCGAAAAGCCAAAGCCAAAAAGCCAAGAAGCCGAAAAGCCAAGAAGCCAAGAAGCCAAAAAGCCAAGAAGCCAAGAAGCCAAGAAGCCAAAAGCGAAAAACAAATTTATATTATTCTTTTTTTCTTTAAAAAAAATGAAAAACCACTAAAATAAATACCCCTCCAAACCAAAAGGTCCGAAGTGGTCGATTCGCATTTAGGAGAACTGAGATGGTCATCCTAAACTAGACCCTGAAAGTCGGCCAACAATGGCGGGTATGCCTTTTTGAGGGACCGCCCCTGCCCCCCTCTCCCAGCACGTCCACGCGAGAATCCCCATTTCACCCACCAACAAAAGGACACCCTTCAACAGGTGAAGCAGGGCGTTTTGCAACCACCCAGCTTCTCCAGGTCTTTGGATACTTCGGCAGAGCTCACCAGCCTGCAATGCAAGAAATCCCCAAAGCGATCTTCATCAAGATCCTTCAAAACTGGCTTATAAATAATAAGAGTAATAATAATAACAACACTAATAATAACAAGAATAATAAATACTAACAATAATAATAACAACAATACTAGTATGTAAAAATAATAATAACACTAATAATAAATAAATAATAACAAAGATAGCAATAATAATGAAAATAATACTAATAAAATAAAAATAAATAAATAAATAAATAAATGAGTAAATAAATAAATAAATACATAAAATATATAATAATCATAATAATAATAATAATGATAATAACAATTATAATGAATATAATACCACTGATACTAATAAGATTAATAATCATAATAATAATAACAATAATAAATATAATAATAATAATAACAATAATGATGATAATGACAATAATAGATAATAATAATAATAGTAATAATAACAATTAGTAGATAATAATTGATAATAATAACAATAACAATAATAATAGCAGTAATAATAATAGTCATAACAATGATATAATAATAACAATAATACTAATGGAAATAATCAATAATAATTAAATAACGAAGACATTCAGCAAACGGAAGATACCCAAACCTTCTGGAGAAGAAGAAAAAAAGAAGAAACAAAAAACGACTTCCGTCGGCCAAGAAGTCACCGCCTCCAGGCGGCGCCGCTCCGCCATGATCTGGGCGAAGTCCTTGCGCCTTGAAGGGCTTCAAGCTCGGGGCACCGGTTTTGTTGGGTTCCCCGGAGGTGCACCGTTCTCGGTGGGTTCCCTGTTCCCACAGGAAAAATGGGGGGGCTCCCTTAAACCCAAAAACGGTTCCCTTAAAGACAACAACGGTTCCCTTAAAATAGGGAGTTAAAAAACCGGTGTGTCTTGGGCTTCCCTTAAACAAGGGTGTCCTTTTGGTTTCACGTTGGTTTGAGGTTCCCTATGATTTATTTTTTGTACTGGATGTGTGCTATACCATACAAACCCTATCATCCCTATTCCTGATCTCCCTTCAAAACAGGACGTCCTGTGGGGTTCTTAAGTTCTAGGGGTTGATTCCCCATTCTTTTCAACCATCGTTCTTTCCAAAAGCCTGCCGTTTTCCCTGGGTTTCGGGAGGTTTTCTAGAAAGATCCGGATCCCTGGAAAGAATGGGGAAGGTACCCCTAGATAAGTTGGTTTCTCCATTAAAATTTCGTTTTGTTTTGTAGACTCTAAAAAGGGGTCCGCTTTGAAAAAAACCTGATGACTTGGCCCTCGGAGAGCTTCGTGGTCCTATTTGGACGTGTCTTCCTTACGGTTTTCCTGTTGGTTTCTCTTAAACACCACCAACAACTTCCATTTGCTTAAGCCCCGGCTGGAAAAAACAACAACAGTAGTGATAGATTCCCTTTAAAACCAACAAGGGGAAAAACAAAAACAAAAACTTAAGCAAATGGAAGACAAAGGGGGCGCCCCAAAACAAACGAGCCACCCAGGTGCGACGTCGCAAACCGGAAAAAAGCAATGAAAAAAAACACATGGCCATGGGTCAAAAGCCCGTACCCCCAGTGAACATCCCAATCCCCACTAAAATAGGTTCTAAAATGGGTGGTGAATTCACCTACCCCAAAATGGGATCCCATTGGTTTTGACAACCACAGCCACATCAGGTCAGGTGGCATCCGCTTAGCTTCCGGAACTCCGGAACCCTATCCCAGGATTCCGGAGCCGATCTGGGCCTATCGACCTAGCTTTCAGCTGTTGGGGGGAGGGGGGAACCATATTTCCAGTAGTGAAACCGATTCCCTCTAAAACCAACAGGGGGACAAAAAAAAAACAGGTTCCGGCAGATTGAAGTTGCGGGGGTACTTTTGGAAACCCATGTAAACCTGCCCCAAAGCAGTACAAGAAATCTCAAATGACCAGGGTTCAAATCCAAATCGCAACCACAAACAAAACAACTCACACAAACAAACAACACAGACCAAACCCAACCAAACCAAGAAATAAACAAACCAAACCAACCAACCAACCAACCAACCAAGCAAGCAAGCAACCAACCAAGCAAGCAAGCAAGCAAACAAACAACTCTTGAACCTACTTATGGGGTGGCTTTTATAGTGGATAAATAGTGGGGCCAGAACAAACAAACAAGCAAAAAAAAAAACGAAAAAAGAAAGACAGACAGAAGAAAAAAAAGAAAGAAAGAAAGAAAGAAAACAAAGAGGAGGAAACAAAAAGAGAAAACCAAAACGCAAACCAAAACGCAAACCAAACCAAACCAAACCAAACCAAACCAACAAATGAATGCGCACAGAGCCCGTCGCCTGCGGGGCGACTTGGTGCGCGCCTGCCGCGGACTCCACGCCGCGACCCCCACTTGGCCCGCGAAGTGTGCGCCGAATTTCTCCCCACGGGGGGCAAGGGGCTCTTTCGCCCGGAGGCGTCCCGTACGGCTTCCCACCAAACAGGGCGCCTTCCCCCCGAAACACATACCGCTTCGCGGGTATTGAAAAGCACGGTGAGTACATCCAATTGATCAAATCGCCCGGAGGCGCCCCGTAAAACTTCGCAGCTAGTAAAAAGCGGATGAGTGCACATAAAGTTGACGCATATCCCGTTCGGCCCCCCAAGAAAGACCACGGGTAATTTTTCCCAGGCGGGAAATCTCAAATAAACCTGCGTAACCCCTCCTGTTTAATTTTGAGCCACACCCACATGAGGGTTCAAAACAAAAGGGTCAAAGTTTGGACCCTGCCCTCTACTTCGAGGGGTTCACACAAGGATCAAAATGCTCCTTCAGCTTCTCACAAACCCGGGGCTCTAGGGGGGTGCATGTTTTGAGAAGGCGCCAGGAATAGAAAACGCTGAGACCGAAAAGGCCGCAGGCTGGGTTTAGTGTGGCTTTGGTGTTGGTTTAGAGTGGGCTTAGGGTGATTTATGGTTGGTTTAGGCTTGGTTTAGGGTGGACCGGTTTAAGGATGGTTTAGAACGTTGACCCAGATTAAGCAGAACCCGTCTGACTCTTAGGGGGGGTGTTCCCTCAAAAGATTGAAGGGGTGTTCGTTCCAAAAGTGGTCTGAGTCACCACCAAAAGCCTGACCTTGAAGGTCAGGTCAATTCTGCTAATGTTGACCCCCAGATTCATAAACACCAGGTTGATTTTGATCGAGGGGGGATCCAGACAACTTTTGGAGGGAACACCCCCCCTACAAATCGGAAGGACAAAATCATCCGGAAGACCGCCCGTCCCCATTGCTCGGCCTCCTCGGCTTTCGTGTCTCCGCTGGTAGCCCGCGGGGTCTGCGAAACGTCGGGCGTGGCCCAAAATGTCGGGCTTTGGCCATCGGAATGGATATGGGTTGGTGTGTTCCTCTTTTTGTGTGTTGTGTGTTTTGGAATGGAAACCGTTGGTGTGTGTATGTGTATGTTTGTTGTGTTTTTCTTGTGTTTTGGAAGGGAAACCAAAAGAACACCGGCCGAAAATCCCCCTAAAAAAAGCACACACACGCAATAACGGGTTTTTGTTTTAGTTCCTGCGGTGACCAATCAAGAACCAGGACTTACCTCCTCTACAAGAACCGGTTCAAATCCAAACCGCCCAGCCAACCAAGCGTTCACTTTTTGACCCCATAGAAATTAGAAATCAACCCACATCAGTTTATTGAATCCGGGCGGTGTCACGGTGGTTTTTCCTGCTGTTCGTGGTTCCGGAAAATCAGACCCACAAAAAGGATGGGAGCACTGCCCGAGTTTCATAAACTGGTTGGTTGATTTTTTATGGGATGAACATGAAAACTAGGTCCTCCAGATTTGAGAGGTTAGAATAAGGGTACCCTATTTTTTCTGTAGTCGATTTTAGTAGGGGAACCCGTCCCCCAAACAAGTTGGTAAACGGGCACCTAGCCGGACCTAGTTCAACAGCTCTCCGGGTCAAGCCAAAGAGCGTGAGAGAGCGAGACGCTGCCGGCTGCCGGGGTCTCAGGCGTCCTTACCCAGAGGCTCCAATTCGATTGATGGGCCTTCAAAGCACCTGGTTTTGAGACCCCGAACCACACGATTCCCGGGTGTCTAACGCTTCGGGGTCGGGTCTTCCATTGAAAGCCGAAGCCAGGAGCATCTGGGTATGAAAAATAGAGGGGGTTTCCCTGGCACCTGGGGCATGACACCAATGCAAACCAGTGGAACCCATCTAGAACCTAACCAAAGTAACCTTAAAAGGACTCCTATGCCAGGTTGCTACCTCCGCGACTTCACAAACGATCGCAACTGGCCGGGGTTTCCGCCCACACTTCTGCGACAACGAGCGCAAGGTGAGGCCCTTTCACTCCATTCCTGAGTGCAAGTTCTGGATGTTTTGCACCACCCCCTTTGATTTGGGCGAGAGGGAGAGTATCGTCAACAAGGAGCAATGGAATCCACTTGGTTCAAGCAAAGCCCTTCCAGCTGTCGGGGGTCCCGTTACAGCTTCTCAGTTGAAACACATTTACTGGTGGTTCCCCTTCAAATGTTCAAAAGTTGCAATTCACTGATGGTCTCCCCCCTGAAAAGTGGATCTAGTCAACTTTTGCTAGTGGCGTCCCTTTCCAGCCAAAGTAGGAACCAACGCACAAATAACAAATGACAACCGTCTCCAACACCAGGATTGAAATGGCCATGGGTCAAAACCCAAATCGTACCCCCAGTGAACATCCGATCCAATCCCCACTAAAATCCCGGTTCTAATAAATGGGTGCTGAATTCACCAGGACCCAACCAAATTGGCATCAACCATAACGATTTTGACCACCACAGAGAGGTTAGAATAAGGCCACCCACTTGCTTCTGAAGTCTATTTAGTAGGGGAACCGAATCTCCCAACCAAAAAAGTTGGGGAGAGAAGGGCACCAGAATAAGGGTACTCTTTGTTCTGTAGTCTATTTAGTAGGGGAACCCGTCCCCCCAAACAAGTTGGTAAACGGGCACCAATTGCCGGACCTAGAATGCCGACCCGCTCCCGTGGCGTTGGGTCCGTCCCCTTCGGATCCGTCCCCCTCCGCACCTTGGGGCCGAAGGGATGCGCTTCTCGGGGCGACCTGGCGCGGAGTCGAATATTTTGCTTCCCGAGCGGATTCGATTCGGCTTTGGCTTTGAAGTGGTTGGGACTCAAGCAGAATATGCCATGCCTCCATTTGCTGGAGACTCCATTTGTGATATATTCCCTTTTGAAAGGCTGGAAAGTAAGATTTGGCTTGAGACGTCCTCGGCCAGCTTGCCAAGAGGACAAGCTTCATCTCTCCTGCTCAGACTCCTGCAAGTTGGTTCTTCTGAGTTGCGGGAAGCTTTGAAACAGTCTTCCGGGGAAGCTTCAACGCAGGTCACGAGGATTAGGCCCAGGGTCCAAAGAAGACACGAACCGAAATCGATGTTTCGCCCACCAAGGGGAATGAAAATCACATGTTCTGCCTCGCAATCAATTTGGGACCGGAGGAGTCCCGATCATATGCGTCAAATGAGCGGGGACCCCCCACAAAATGGCGGGCTTCCTCAAAACCAACCCGCGAAAAGGGTTCAAGGCACCAGGTCTGGCAAATCCCGAACCCCCAAAAGGGTTCCCATTTTTTCACCACGTCCTGAACTGGAACTCCGATCGGCTCCAGAACCACTCCGATCGGCACAGTTGGCTAGCCCTAACGGCTCCAACGCCAACCACCTGCTTGTTTCAGGGGACCCTTTTCAAGCTAAAACAAAAATTAACAAGGAACACCACCAGCTCGCTTGGGGTCAATTGAACCTTCTGGGCTGCGTTGCCGGGTGCCCGGCTCGTTGCGTGAAGAGGGGAGCGGCAGAGGCCTAGGTTGAGTTTGCTCGACAAATGAACCGCGATCAGCTCCGGCAGAGAGGGTTGCGCCCAACGCCTTCAAAAATCCGAGAAACAAGGATTCGTCAAAAGTATGTAAGTGTCCAATCCTCGGCCGGTCAGCCGAAAATAAACGGGGTCTTTTTGCAGCGGGCCACTAAAATAACAGATCCAAAAAGCTAGAAAGACAAACATCATGCCAAAAAAAGTAATGATAACCAACCGTGCTCACAACTTATTGACATAGCCGAACACCCAAGCAGCACAAGTTGTCTATGTTTGGTCATTGCCTGGTGGCGCTTAAGCCCCAGGGGGAGATGGTTCTTGACAAGCCAAAGGGGGATGTGTGAGCTCCCCAGGTAGAAAAACCCACACGTGTGCCCCGAACCGCCTTGGAAGATACAGGGTTGATGACCGGCGCTAGTCATCCCAAGTTGCTTGGGTGGCCTGAAGATGTTAAGAAACAACTACTAAAAACTCCTGCCAAGAGTTGACATGGAACACAAAAAGCCCCCCACGGGCCCCAATTCAGAGATTCCTTCTAGAAACGATTCAGTCGTTAGGGATTTATCTGAAAAGGGCCGTCCCTGATTCCTCCGGCACGATTTGCTGAGTGATTCGTTTCGGGCGCTCTGATTCAAACAGTGGCCAAAGGCTCAAGGAACCGGAAAGGCTCCAGTCTTCCTTTGACCAAAAAACCTGGCCCCCGAAACAAAGAAAAAAACAAAAACGAAAAAACACCGGGTGCCCTCAAAGGACACGTCCAAAAAAAACCGCTCCGCTTTACCAGGAACTCCTCTCAAACAGCCGGTATTTGGGGGGCGCCTCTGTAGATGGCACAGCTGGGTCTTTGCTACAAGTGGTCACGTTCCCCAAAAAAAAGACGAGTGCGAATTTCAAGCACAGAAAAAAAAAGATGTTTTTTTTTTTCTGTAGTCTATTTGAGTAAGGGAACCCTTCCAACCAAAACAAATAGAAAAAAGGGCACCTAGCTGGGGGTTCGCTTTCCCCCCCCCAAAAAAAAGACGGGTGCGGCTTGATGTCGTTTTTTGTTTTTTTCCCTAGGTGTGTTGTTTTTTCTCTATTTTTTATTTCCGTCTTGGCCCCGCCAAAAAGACCACGGACCCCCAACTTCCCCGAGTGGTCTTGTTTTTTCCTTGGCCTCCGGCGTCAGCATGCCGCTGGGCCTCGGCACCGAGGGCTGAGCCGGGCTGAAGAGCCGGGCTTGGCTTTGGGGGGACGCCCCCACCCACCCCACGGCTTTTGGCGCTCTTGTTGGCTTCTTTTCTTTTTTTTGGGGGTGGGTGATTGGTGTTCTTCTTGCTTCTTTCGCTTTTTGGGGGTGGGTGAAACATTCCCAAATGTAGCCCAGTGCATTTAGTTGCTAAACCATGATGTAAAACCTATAGAGACTGTAGACTAGTTGCTACAGCAAGTAACTAGCGGAAACCATGATGCAAAACCTATAGAGACGAGGGAGCTAACAAACAATAGTATGGTTGCCTGCCGCAGTGGTGACTGGAAGCGCTGGGAAGAACCCTTTTCGTTTTCACCCCAAAATTGCGTGTCACTGTCCAGCTTCTACTTGGGTGGTCGGCCAACTCAGTAAATTGTTGGTAACGGAGGCTGTAGCCCACTTATCCCCCCAAGGTGGAGTCAGCCCTGTTCGTGGCGTTAACTCAACCAACCACCTGCTTATATACTGTTGGCGAATCGAACATCCACTGGGGCGGAGGCTCCAAGAACTACTAATGGTTCAAAAGGTTCGAGCCCATGCTTGATTAATCTGGGGGCCGTTTCAACAATACAAATACAACATACCGAATCGTATCGTTGCGTATTACGAGCTATCGGTATCGAAAAGCAAGTATCGCAACCTCAAATCGTATCAAAATCAATAATTATGAAGCAACTTGAACCGCTGTGCTTCTCTGCAGGAAAAAAGGTTGCAACGACTCAAAAGCCCCGTCTACCGGGAGTACCATGCGGAGATGTGTTGGTCGGACACGCGCAGTCCCTGAAGAAAGAGAGCTAAGTTGAGTGTGCCCAACGTGCCACATATTTGGACGAAACACATTTGGACGTTTCATTGGGCACACTCTCAAAGAGTGTGCCCGATGAAACACAGAGTGTGCCCAGTGTGCCCAAGTTGCCCAGTCTTTTGGCATATATTCGTCCCTGGTTTCGTCCACAAAAACTATGGACCCAAAAAACCTACGGACGACACCCGCCAACCAGAAGTTCTCCAAGTCTGCAAGGTGGCTGTGGCTCAAAAAACTGGTACCAAAATGGGTTGCCCTGGGAAACTCCCTAAGTGGAAACGTGGACCAAAACCTGCGGTTTGCCCTCCGATCCTTTAATTTTGAGCCACACCCAGGTGCCACTCAACAAGTAAGTTGCCCACCGCACATGTGCGGACCTGGCTTGCATTTTCCGATAAGGTCAAACACCTGGACGCTTGGCTGCGAAGTATCGCATCGCTTCTTGAATTCTTGAGAATTCAACAAGCAAGTTGCCACCGGACACATGGGTACCTGATTTGCATTTTCCCAAGAGTCTGTGGAGACACCTGGATGCTTTTTTGTGCGGAGTCTCGCATCTTATGACCTCGAAATGGTGAACGCAAATAGTGAAAACTGGTGAACAGATCAAGCAACAGAAGAAAAACAAGACAAACAAGGAAGAGCCGCCAGGGGAAAAATAGTCCAAAGGGTGTTTTAGTGGGTGCGGCTTCTGGTGTTCTTCGCGCGCCCACAAAAATCCGACCTCCCCAAAGGATGGCCCAAATCGCCGCGTCTCTTCGATCCCAAGGGTCCGGGCGGCGTGGAGCTCCGCGAAGCTTCCTCCACTCGACGAAACACGCGGCCGGCGCCGCGCCCGGGCGTTCGACTGAGCAAACGTTGTGGGTCAAAACCCAAATCGGTTAGCCCAGTGAACATAGGGTAATTCACCTAGCCCAAAATTGGTCCTAAAATAGGGTCCTAAAAATAGGGTGATTCAATCCAAGCACCAAAATAGGTCCTATGGGTGAATTCACCTAGAACATGGGATCCCATTGGTTTTGATCCACAGCCACATGGTTTGTTACTCTCTCATAGAGTGTTGCGCACAGGGTTCTTAAGACAAGAGTACAGGCCAGGGTTGTTTCCAAGACGCTATAGTGGAAACAGGTGGAAACCACTCTGGTTGGAACAACCTACTGTTGGTCCCTTTTGGATCTGGTTGTTGTTCTCGCCAATTTTGCAACCATGCAAAATTGGAGCCCCTGGCAACCATTGTGGAGGCATTGTGGGGTTCAGTCTGGTGATACAGGTTTTTAAAAGTTGTTGTTGTGCCTCAATACAATCACCATCAGACCAGGCTCACAAAGATTTGGGCTCGCTTGTTATGAGCCCTGGCCCTCTCTAAGGGAACCCCGTGGTTTTACCGCAACATCTGGTGGTGTTGTGGTAAAGACTAGTTTACTTGCGGTTTTTGTGGGGCAGCAGCCGCAGGATGGAGGAAGGGTAACAAAATCGCAGCCAAATGGCTCCAGCACTCCCAAAGGAAGCTCAGTTTTCTCACAAAACTGGGTGATGGGCCTGGAAAACTCGAACAATTGCCCACGTGCGATGTCCACAACTTGTTGATTCTATGGGCTGTGTTGCATGGGATGAGTCCACGCTGGCTCATTTGCTCGTTGCTTTGCGGTAACATGGATAGGCCCTGCTCATTTGCTCGTCCCCCTAAAGCAGCCAGCTAAGTGGGCGTTGCCCCTGAAATAAACCCCTGTTTATTAATATGGCGGTGTTCCCCTCCAAGATTGATAAATCTCCACTAAAACCAGGGACACCCCCATATTAATAAACAGGGGTTTATGAATCCGGGGTCAACATTAATTGGTGGTTTTGGAATCTGTTTCTTGAACCCAAATGGGAAGACACCCCTCACTACCTCCAAGCACATCCAGCGGCTGAAAGCCGACATGTCATTCTCTTGGGACCCAATTTGCGTCGCGTCCAAAAAAGAACACCAGTTTCTTCAGCACGGAAATGGCCCAACTTCAAAAAAATCCAAGTGGACCTCACACACGGGGGGCAGCAAAACCTGGAAAGCCCAAAAACATAGTTAGGGATTTTCTGGAAAACAAGTCGTTGGATTCCTAGTTTTAGTTTCAGTTCACTGGAGCCCCTTTACTGGTTCTCACTTCCTGAGTGGGTGTGCCAGAAAAGTCCGAGCTTTCTATTTACCACAAAAATGACTTTGGCAAGGCAATTCCAAAAGTGGCAATTCCCTTCGGACCAACAAACATGGGCCATTCCAAACCCAAACAAGTGACGAATGAAAGTCCGAGTCCGAGTCCCGAATCTCGTTCGGAAGTGAAACTGGTTTCACTGGAGCCCCCCATGGTTTCTGGATTTTCCTCTACTCAGTTGTTCAGTGACCTTGCAAAAAATGAACCTTTTTTGGGAAGACCATTTTAGTGGGGCAGCCACCAAAAAAAAGGAAAAAGGGAGCCACTGAACAACTGAGTCTAGGGGCGCGTCATACCAACGCGCCTCCAAGGACTCTGACAGCTTGGGAATAGGGCCTCGACTCGTTTCGCTCGCTCGCTGACCGAGCGCGGGAGGAGCGGGGTGCCAATCTTGGGAAAAGCACGTATGTGGCCATTGGCTGAAAACAGGTTGCCATTGTTTTCTGATCCAAGAGTTTTCTTTATTAAAAAAAAGATGGGCTAAAAATAATTCAGAAACCCAGCTAAGAACAACAAAAAAGCTAAGTGGAACCGCATGGCTGGGAACCACCATCTGCTTAAAATGTTTCATTCCCCCCCTGTTGCTTTTGATAGGAATCTATCACTGGAAATACTGTTATGTTTCCAGGGGGCTCTACTGCAAATGGAAGCATGGTTAAGCCATGTCCGTTCAAACAACCGCTCTTCTTGGCCAACAGGAGCCAGCATTCAAGCCTGCTGGGGTCTAATTTGTTGCCCCTCATCGTTTCCCCACTGCTTCCAGGCAAGCCACTATAGGTGAACAGGGAAACCATCCATGGCAAAACCTACAGGTCAAGATATCGAAGGGTTACCTACTATAGTGGTTTGCCTCGATCCACTGGGTTTAGAAAAGGCCAAGGTTACCTGAGCAAAAGCCTAGCTCGGCGAGGTGCGTTGGTACCCCCCGAAGCGCCCCGGCAAAGAAAGATGTTGATGGGAACCCCTGATTCATAAACCTCTAGTCGACGAACACGGGTCCCGGTGTCCCAGTTTAGCGGGGATCCGCATCGATCACTTGTTTGGAGTTCCCCCCCCCTCCAGTCCTCGACAATTGCCTGGCCCAAATCTGCACTCCAAAAATATGTCCTGACTTTGTTCATATGTTGCAAACCCTCAGAATACACAAACAATAGGATCGATTTGGAGACCCCAAAAAACCGGGGCCTGCAACGGGGCCTCTGTTCAGAAGCCACTGTGGAAAGAAGCTTCAAAAAAAAGCAGCCAGCTTCCCCAAAGATCGAGTGCTTTCCAGGGAAGTCAAAAGGTGTTTCTCAAATACCCCAACAAATTACGTCAGTCTCCTTTCGAATCATGAAAAAAACGCCAAAGGGAAAGGGGGTCGGGTCCCTCTTCAAGCGTCTTTATTCAGGGCCCCTCCAAAAAAAGACACTTAAACCACAAAAAAATGGTACAGTACAAACCAACAGCTTTACCCTTCAAGGGTGTCCTTACTTTTAATGCCACTAATCTCTCATTTCCGCACTCATGGCAAAGAAAGCCATAATATTCTGATCCAAACTACAAATTTACAACAAATATACGACCAGGTCCTCCGGTAGAGAGGTTAGAATAAGGGTACCATGTTTTTTCTTCTGAAGTCTATTTTAGTAGGGGAACCCTCCCCAAAAAAGTTGGTAAAAGTTGGCACCTAGCTGGGGGAACTAGACCATCGACAACCCACGTGGACTTCCTGGACCTCTCAGAACTCCCCCGACTGCAAGCCTTCCAAGGCCCCAGCTCGGCACATCGCATGCCGGGAGCGAATGCTCGTCACCGCCTGCGCTCGAGGCTGGGGATCGGTGCGATAGCTAGGCAATGGGTCAAAAAGTCGGTGCCCAAATGGCTTGCCCTGGTAAATGGAACCAAGGACTAAAATCTGCGGTCCATATCCCGGTGGCTTCATTTTCACCCATACCCAGGTGGGGAATGGAATGGCCGAGCCCGGGTGTTGGTGGAACGAACCGGTGTTGGGTGCCGATTCCTTCAACCTCAAAGGAAGCCACATGGATGATTCATAGGCATTCCATGTCTCATTCCCTGAGAACCACCAAGAAAACATTCTGGCGTTTCGTTGGCTTTCAGCATCTTTGGGAAACCCCAAGATGAGTTTCCTTTGGGCCCTAAGGGTCCGAGTCTCCACTTTTTCAGCCAAACCAGTTGTTGGGCCGCGGAGGAATTGTTCTCCAGTGGAAAGTTGGCATGGCCCTCTCACCAAGAGACAGGCTTCTAACTTCCTTTGCTTGGTTGGCCCACTTGTAGCAATTTTCCTAGCTGGCCAACTCAGCAGGTTGCGCAAATCCCCCAGTAGCGGTGGTCACGCCGCGCTCTGCGCTCTGAAATGGGGCCGTTCAAAGCCAGCCGCGGCGTCTTTGGCTGCTGAGGGCAACACTGACTGTCTGAAGTCCTCCAGTCCCCTCACATGGAGTGCCGTCAAAAAGTGCTCGCAAGAACCTCGACGTGCAAACGGAGGGCAAAAGGCAGATCGCACTCCTGGCGTCGCTTTGGCCTTTCGGCCACATGGGAAGCCCTGCTGCTGTCAGAAAGAACCGGTCCGCGGGCACGTGCTCAATACTGCATATCTGCATATCAACCTTCAAGGTGTTCAGTGGGTCTTGGTGCAGCAGGTCTTGGTGGCGCCCAAAGCGTGCATGCACTTCACTGCTTCCTCATTGGCGGCCAAACTTGCGATCGGTGCGATAGGCTCATTGGTGGCCAAACTTGCGATCGGTGCGATAGGCAGGGAATGATTATTTTTATCATGTCAGTTGTGTTCCCCCAAAGTATAAAGTCCATAAACTCGGGCAGTCAGCGACTTAAACCTCAGAGTTTCTAGATCGATTGGAGAAGTACCCTGCTGCGGTTGGGGATGATTTCAAACCAAAATCGACCTAGATAAATCATGGAACTTCACCCAACTGGAAAAATAAAGGTGTGTCGGGCTTTTGGGGAATCCCCCCAACCAAAAAACGCAAAGGCTTCGAGGTTCGCCAGACAGGCGCTTTCGTAGGTAGCCGCGTTTATCGAGCTGTCTCTTTCTGATCGAAGGGTTCTGAGATGGTCTGAATTAGAATGGGGTTCTGGGGTACTTTTAAACAACACGTAGTCATGAAGTAAACCCCCTTGTGTTCCGGTTTGTGCCGAAATGCGGGGACCCCCAGAACCTGTGGCTTTTTCTATTGGTGTCCAATCCGCAAAGGGTACCGAGCCTCAACAAAAACACACGCGCAGAGCCTTACCAGGCCGTATCAAGAGATCCGGGGCGTGACAGGCTACAGATGAAAGTTGCCCAGCTGTTGGTTTCACCCCTCCTCCCCAGAATCCATGTCGCACCACCGTTCAGAAAATGTTGAATGGATTTGTGTCCGTCATTTACCATGATTTTGTGGTTGAGCCATGGTTGGCTTACTTGCATACCTGCGGATGGAAGAAATCAATTTCGCACCGCCGGTTGATTCCCCAAGGTAAATACCAACAAAAAAACAAACCTTTTGGTTTCATTCAATCGTGGCTTCCTTTCGTACTGCGCGAAGCGGATGAACCGCGCCACCATCCTGAGGTCTGAACCCCTCCCCCCCCGGCGAGCAGAGCCTTCCACCAACTCCTGCAGAGTTCCCAAAGCAAACCGAGGTGTTGGCTTCCTGCTGTGCTCGATTCGCCAAGTTCGTTATGATGGTAATGTTGAGCTTAAGGCAAGAGGGACTAATGGGTGTACGTGGGTTAATATTGACCCCATATAAATCAACCTCAGTGTGTTCATGTGGTGCCGGCCCCTCCAACAGTGGTCTGAATCCCCACTAAACCCGAGGACACCACCCCTATTAATGAACTGGGATTGACTAAATGGGTCAATAAGTGGTTCGTCCCTCCCAACTCACTCGCAAGGTTACCGTTCAGGAGTCTAACCACTACCTTCCCCCGAACATCCAAAAGGAAGCCCGTAAGGTCGTTCCTTGTGCAAACCGTTTTTTTTTTGGGGGGGTGGGGGGGGAAGCGAACCCTGGTTCTTTGGAAACCCGAGCTTTGGGGAAACCCGGTGGGGGGATTTTGTGTGACGGAAGTCGCTTGGAACCTAGGAACCAGGGTCAACACAAGCCACTTGCCCGGAAATCGGACCACTCCGGACCCTGAATCCCCGGACAAAATGACCAAAGATGGTTCTGACGCCTGAACCAAACCTACAAAATGTAAATACGTATAATATATATATATATATACTCCTGAAATGCCTGGGCGGGTGAGCAATGTACCATGGACCTGAGATTTTTCTGTACCAGGAACCTATACACATGAACTATCTCCAAACTGAGAAAGGTGCAATGCCATCTCTGGAGGCTTCGTTTTGAATAAAACATCTCAGGAACCCCGAAAAAATAAAATACAAAGGGGGTACCAACTCAAAACAAGGGCACCCAAATCATCCGACCCCAAGGAACCTTCAACATGACCTCTCAAACCCCAAGCGATAGTTAAACCCAAAACAACCCCAAACAAATTGAACAAAAAAAAAGCGAAAAGCCGCAAACTCTTTCCTTCCGCGCGCGTTTGGCGTCCGGAACTCGCGTCCGTTTCTCTCCTCGCACATGGAGAGGACAGGCCCGTCGGCCTGCGATACGAGGACAAACTTGTCTCGTTTTTCGGGGGAGAACGGGGCCTCCGCTGCTGAGTGGAGGTTTTTGGTCCAAAACAAAGTCCGGAGTGGATTGCCCAAACAAACATCTCCGCAAGCTGTCCGTGGAAAAGTGGTTGTTTGGTCCAAGAGATGTCCGGAGTGGAGTACAACACAAATGGATATGGATCAAAACAAAACCACCAAAAAGCCGCAGGTGTTGGTCCGTGTTTCCCTTTGCCAGCGTTCCATTTTGGGCATCTATTTTTGACGCACAGCCAAATCTCTGGAAACTGTTCGTGGAAAAAAAGGCCTAAGCCAGTCCAAAGTGAAGCCAAACAAATGTCCAGATCTGTTCAGCTTGCCACTAAAATGGGAACCAATCAGAAGCATAGCTGAGCTTCTGCACTACTCGATGGCCCTGCCAAATGGAATAAAACCAATTTAGAACCAGTGCCATCATTGGTTTTGAGACCGGGTCCCAACAGGTGTCTAATGGAGGGGTCGGGTCTTCCATTGAAAGCCGAAGCCAGGAGCCTCTGGGTGGGGGACTGTCCATGCGCCAGTTCGGATGGAGCCCTACGAATACGGGCTAAACCGCCTACCGGAAAAGCGGGGCTTTGGAGCGGTTTCCGTTTCCGCGCACGAACCAACGGGTTCAAGTCCCCAAACCACCAATCCGAAGCACCAGCTGCGGGTGACTTGAAATTCTGAGGATGCCACTTTTAACAAGGTGAGTGGTTGCAGCGCGTCTAGCGACCTCTTGTACCGAAAGCCGAGAAATATGCTGTCAGCTGCCTTGTTGCTTGCCACTTGGATGGTGAAATTCTCTGCTTAGCTCAGTTTCTGGATGAGCCAATCATGGCAGTTGTGTGTCGGGTCTGTGAATGGGCGACCCCTCCCGCCGCAAATCAATCTCCTGGTAGGAGGTTCTCCTTGTGTAAAAACACAATTTCAGAGGCATGCGTGGGTCTGTCTCAAAATTAGGAGACCCAAAAAATAGCGTCGGCTTCCTTGTGGTTTGGATTCAAGACGAACATGACCAACCAAAAGGTGGCTTCAAAAAGACGGGCCACCTGCATGGGACAGACTCTCGGACCACTCCCTTGAGGGCCTGACCCGACCCTAACAAATAATTAGCAAAAAATTGGGATCTGAGACCCCAGTTTTGGGGAGGGATGTCCACCAACCATGACCAGTGAAAAAAAGTCCTAGCCATCTTATCCTCCTGTCCAAGTTACCATGGAACCTGATGTTTCGGGGTCCTGGACCATTTTCCGCTAAAATGGACCATCTGGTGAATTCCACTGGACAGGTGGGCGGTTGGGTCATCTCTTTGGGGCAAGCTATCGGCAAGCGAAAGGCCTGGAACCTTTGGACAAATGGGTCACTTTAGGCGTTCCGTTGAGTGTCCTTTGACTAGGGGAGCCCCAGGAACGTTCGTTGCCTTTTGCTTCCCTTTTACAATGACCCCGCAAGCATAGCCTTGAGCAGGGTTCCGGAAAGGCTACTTGCAAGGGCATCCTCTGCATCAGCCGGTAAAGATGACTCTTCTCCGAAGTGGAGTCAACCCTGTTAGTGGGTTGTAACCCAGGTGGCCGACCACTTGCCTCCATTTGCTTCCCCTAGTGGCAAGGTTAACTCCACTTAGGGGGATTTTAAGTGGGTTCTAACCAAGGCTACCACCAACTTCCCAACTTGGCAACGAACACCCAAGTAACCCTAAATCCACTCGGAACATCCCTTTCAGCCCGGCGAAAACCCTTCATTCAGCAGCCTGGGTGTTCAGAAGGGATCATCACAAAAAGGACGAACTACCCTTCACCAACATTGACCCAGACCCCCAGTTGTGGAAAACAGGATCGGCACTCCTTTTTGGTATTTGGTGTTTAGATTAACTTGCACACTTGTTTCCTTGATTCCGCGAATGCAACACGAGACTAGGTTGCTTTCTGCTCCCCGGCTAAAAGTGCAGAACTTTTAGTGGTTTTAATGGGGAAAACCCATTGGTTGGCAAAAAGGTATTCAGTCCTAACCTCCAAACAACATGCACCAAAGAACCCTTGGTATGAACTTGCAAAAAACGGTCCGTTTTTGCAGCCCCCTACTCAAAATGAACTTGCAACAGCCAAACAAAATGCACCTCTGGAGTGATCCAGACGCAGAAATTCACCAGACCAGGTGACCTCCCCGCAGACGGAACCCGCTCGAACCCCCGCCTCTGGCTGCAAGCCGTAGCCATCCCCCGACGCCAACGCCGCCGCCTCGGAGCTCGGGATCGAAATCAACACGAGATGAGTCACTTGCTCAAAACCCGGTACTAGGTCCTCCAGTAGAGAGGTTAGAGGTTAGGGTACCGTAACTTGTTTCCGTCTATTTTAGTGGGGGAACCCTCCCCCAAAAAGGGCAAAAGGACACTACTGGGGGACCTAGGGTATTAAAATGGTCGACCCAGAACCACGCTTCAAGAATTAAGAAGGCGGATTTCCGCAGCTATTTATGGTTGAAATTGCCCCTTACTAACCTTCATCTACCCAGATTTTGATTGTGGCTCAGGTGATGTTCAGCCGTGGCTCAACAAGGGGAGTGTTTGCCCCAGATTTCCGCAACCCCAGAGACCGCGCCAGGTTTAAAAAAACAAGTATGGGGATCCTTGGGTGAAATGTGGGGAATCATCACTCATCAACCCCAGTTTATTGATTAATATGGGGGTGTCGACCTGGGTGAAACGCGGGGAATCAGACCACTTTTGGAGGGGAACACCCCATGAACTTAAACAAACTGAGGTTAACTAATATGGGGTTAACAATACGTACCACACTTCCTGACTGGATTGGCCAAGAAAGGTCTTCCCAACACGCACAACATGTCCAGGAACCCAGGGAGCATTTGGCGGGTTTCCAGTTGGTGTCATCCCGTTAAAAACCACCCCAGGAGAAGCCCGTCCCCTTCCAGAGTTTAGGCCTCATGGCCATGGTACCGCTCCGGTGGCCTTTTGTGGAGTGCTTGCGGCGGACCGGCGACCGGGGCTTCGCCAAGCTCCAGAAAATCCTGAAAACGCCGGTCGGGTCCAGGGGCGGCTAGGCAGAGAATCAATCAACCTGTCCCTTCGCACCACTTTGAAACCCTGGTTGGAATCATGTTTTTTGTTAGTTTTTACTGGGAATCGTCCGAAACCCAGGGTTTCTTAGGTGGTGCAGGAGACATGTTTTGAGGGCGCGGGCGTTGTGAGCGATTGCCCATCCCTCAAGCCAATCTGCTGTCAAACTTGGACAGCTCTGGGTCGGCTCGATCATTTTCCCCCGCATTCATAAACACCTGGTCGATTAGGAGGTTGTCGTATGTGAGGGGGGTCCTTCACTGTGGGCGGGAACACACACACCCGCTAACTGGTGGACAGGTTAGGAAGTGGTTTTCAAGAAGCATCTATCCAAACCACAGAGTGACACGTTCTCTCAGGTGATACAATGAAGGAGACACCTGCACGTCGGAAGAAGTCCAAACCACCAATCAGGGGTGACGTTGCTCATTCCAAGCCAACATTCACTCGCGAAAAGGGCAAAGGGGTCCAAGGCCAACCCGGACTGGTTGCTTCAAGAGATTCTGGCTGTGTCAGTGTCGCTTTTGCAGCGATCCCTTCAAGAAGTGAGGCGGGACGCCTGTTCATGGGGTCGGGGTCCCTAAAGGGTTATAGTTTGATGACTTGCTGACTAGTGACCCCTTCTCTGCCCTTTAGTATATGGGTTCGTGATGGGAACCTTCGAACTGGTTGATTTGGACTGGTGGTTTGGGGGGTGAGGAGCTACAAGAACCAGGGGCTCAACTCCAAATCAGCACCAGTCCCAAGCACCAACTGGTTGCCAGATACTCTGAAGGAGACTTGGCCGATCTTCCCAACGCTTTCAAAAGGATGCCACTCCGGGTCCAAGCCTTTGCCTCCGGGAGCTTCTCCGGGCAGAGGCCCCATAGCTTCCGGCTGGGAAGCAAGCCCAGCCCGTCGAGCACCCCCCCCCTTCCATCCGAGCCATGGGCCAGGATTTGGCAGAATTCCGCGTCGCCCTCGCGAGAAGAAAAACGGCGCAGCGAAGGTTCGGAAAGCCGCTGGTTTGGAAAGGACCATGGGCCAGATATGGCGATGAATTTCGAGAGTTGGAGCCACCGAAGTGGTGGGCGCGAATCCCCAGCGGATGTTGATGTCCACCAAAGGGTCCCCAATGAAATTGCATACCCATAGGAATACTAGACTAGATCAGTGGGTGTCTCTAAATGAGGGCCCCTTGCAAAAACAATTGTGAGACACCAGGGAAATTCAACAGGGGTTCTGGATATGCAGATTGGACCGCCAAAAGCAAGGCCTTGTGCTTGTTTCACATCTCTGAAACTTGAATCCATCCTCATCTGGGCTATGGCAATCGCACGCTTTCCCAGGTTTTTCTTGGAGATCACCAGGACTCTGATGTTGCAGTGAGAAAAAAGACGAGAGCGGCGAACCAAACACCCCGTTGATGAGCAAGCCACTGGGCTGCCCTCAGATCCCCGGCGATCTAAGTGGTTCACTTTTCGTGGGTGAAAAATTCGGAACCCCAACCACTACCCCCTACTCCGAATACCCACTTTTTCTAGGGTATTCTTTTGGAAAACCTGGTTTTTCAAGGTAAATACCTCCTTTTTTAGTAGAGGGTCGAAATGATACCCTGAAAAAAGTGGGTACTTGGAGTCGGGGGTACACCAACCAAACACCTAAAACCCTAGTGGGCTAAATTCGGAAACCCAACCACTAAACCAACTGAAACTGCCCTAAAAATCTAAGTTGAACCGGATGGATGGGCTTGCCACTGACGCGCACCAAAGGGACCTCAATTCAGATTCATCCCCAAAAGGACAAGGGGACGGAGGCTGGTTGCGTAACTTACCCCTCATATAATTCATTCCTTTGCAAACTGACGGAGGCTGGTTGCGGAACCCCTCACAAACTAGCTGCTTGACCTTGAGCACGGGTATTCGTCTTTTTTGTTTTTGTTTCCCCCCCTTTTTTTCTTCTTGTTTTTTGTTTTGCTTTTTCCCGACCGTCCAAGCTTCTTTTTTTCGGCCCGCAGAGCTAAAAGGAACATGGAGGCCAACAAACAGGCCAATCCGAGGAGCCAAAATCCGTGTAAGCATTCTCAGTTGTGTCATCCACCAGCTTATTCACATGCACACATGCTTGTCTTCGCGTGAAGACTCGCGTAACACTCAGCCAGCTATCAAAAAGGATTTCGGACACACCAAAAGGACGCCGAACCATGCTTAATATAAGATCGGTGCCGCTCTCGGACACCCTTTCGGTTGGTACTGATTTGGATACCCAAAGGCACCGTGATTTGACCATTTCATGAGATTCGTGCCATCCACCGATTCCGAGTTTGAGCGAAGCGCGGCGGGCCTCGGGGTGCCTCTTTTGGCCTCGAGAAAACCGTCGCGACGCGGGCCGAGGCGGAAGTGCGTCCCGAACCCTGGAAGTCCGAGTGGGGTGACACCCCCCATTACATCCTGAAACGGACACCCCCCCCCCCACACCCCCACACCCGGGTAAAGCAGGTGGCTTTTCCACCAACCCAGTTAAACCAGGTCTTTGGAAGGTTTGGGCAAGCAAATCTGGGCGTATCTGGGTGTGCCACTGGCACAATGTCCACATGTTGGGGTCGCATTCCAATAGCCTAACCTTCAATTTGCATTCTGGTGTTGTTGTTGTCCCTGTGAGTCATAATCAAAACCTGGTAGTAAACATGGTCCACCTGTAAAGACTTGCACATATTTATGACTGGGGTTGTCCCTTGCTACCTTCCGATTAGCCGGGTGTTGATTATGGCTCCTGTTGGTTAAGGAAAGCGGTCGCGTTTGTCCTTGCCTGGAAGGCCGCTTGGTATTTCCGCCGCCTTGCTACATGGTAGGTAAACAACACGCTGCGCCTTTGTGGAAGGCCCCTAACCAAGGCGATCGCCCAATGTCGCCGATGTTAACCCCTCCACCCCTGTCCCAAGCTGCATCCCCAACCCCGACAACGACAACATTGAAAAGCGTGTGTTGTTTTTCCGCCACGCAAGGCCCCCCCCCGGTTCCATGAATAGAGGGGTCCACGGGGGTCCAAAGAATCACGGACTGTCCCCAAAAAGTGAGGCTTGTCCTCAAAGGGACCCCTGACCATTGACGAGAACCTTCTGAAAGGCTGCCCTCAAAAATCAAAAGGGAAGCAAAAGCACTTCGCTTCATTTTCGGGCAAAGAACAAGGAGAATCCGAACAAAGGGGGGTTCCTCCTATTGCCGGCGCGAGTGGGAGCTTCAAGGTTGAGTTAACACAAACACACATACACACACGCCGTCCCAAAGAAGTGAAGTGAGCCGGAGCCCCGGCTTTTTGCCGCAAGACATCGCCCGAACCAAAAAATAGCTAGGGCGAGCTTCCAACCATGTCCAGACATATGGGTCGGAGTTGGTACCCATGTATTTTGTCTGGTTTAAAGGGAAACCAAAAGGACAACCATCACTTTGGGGGGGGGGGGAGGTCGATGCCTAAACAAAAAACGGACCCACGGTTCTTTCCAGCAAACGTTCTCAGAACAATGGGATGCCGATCTGCTTTCTTGAAGCTTTTTAAACCGATCTGCTTTCTTAAAGCTTTTGGGGGAATCACCACCCTCTTGCAATCACCCAAAAAGTGTCTTTTGTTGAAATCCAAAAGGGAAACCACAGATTTTAAGGGCTCCCTCGTCAAAAGACACGCCTCGATGGACGTGCGCGCTCTTTTGAGGGTATCCTGTGTTGGGTTGGTGTAGATGGAGTTCAAGGAGAAACCTGCATTTGCTCCCAGTTTTGAGACATAAGGGGGCTAAGGAAATGCACCCATGAGTATCCTTTGATGACTTATTTTGGACCTGAGTTCCCACAATCCCCTTTTGTACACTTCGCCCCCTATATCCATGTCCACATCTCCATGCCCCCCCCCCCCCCGTAAGAGGGAAGATCATACCCTATGTGTCGTTCAGGCTGGCTCCAGCTTTGAGTGAACTGTTGAAGTGAAATTATAATGATTTTGCAATTATTGCAATTATTGGAATTGAATTCCAATAATTACAATAATTGCAATAATTTCAGGTCCTGGATTTTGCAATTATTGCAATTATTGGAATTGAATTCCAACAATTCCAATAATTGCAATAATTTCAGGTCCCGGATTTTGCAATTATTGCAATTATTGGAATTGAATTCCAATCATTGCAATAATTGCAATAATTTCAGGTCCCGGATTTTGCAATTATTGGAATTAGTCGGACCGGCTTTGAGGCCAAATCTGGGATCAATTAATTATTGCAATTATTGCAATTATTGCAATTATTGCAATTATTGGAATTGAATTCCAATAATTGCAATAATTGCAATAATTTCAGGTCCCGGAGTTTGCAATTATTGCAATTATTGGAATTGAATTCCAATAATTACAATAATTGCAATATTCGGAGGTCCCGGATTTTGCAATTATTGCAATTATTGGAATTGAATTCCAATAATTGCAATAATTGCAATAATTGGAGGTCTCGGATTTTGCAATTATTGCAATTATTGGAATTATTCGGCCCGGCTTTGAGGCCAAATCTGGGATCAATTAATTATTGCAATTATTGCAATTATTGCAATTATTGCAATTATTGGAATTGAATTCCAATAATTGCAATAATTGCAATATTCGGAGGTCCCGGATTTTGCAATTATTGCAATTATTGGAATTGAATTCCAATAATTGCAATAATTGCAATAATTTCAGGTCCCGGATTTTGCAATTATTGCAATTATTGAAATTGAATTCCAATAATTGCAATAATTGCAATAATTTCAGGTCCCGGATTTTGCAATTATTGCAACTATTGGAATTCAATTCCAATAATTGCAATAATTGCAATCATTTCAGGTCCCTGATTTTGCAATTATTGCAATTATTGGAATTGAATTCCAATAATTGCAATAATTGCAATATTCGGAGGTCCCGGATTTTGCAATTATTGGAATTATTTGGTTCGGCTTTGAGGCCAAATCTGGGATCAATTAATTATTGCAATTATTGCAATTATTGCAATTATTGCAGTTATTGGAATTCAATTCCAATAATTGTAATAATTGCAATAATTTCAGGTCCCGGATTTTGCAATTATTGCAATTATTGGAATTCAATTCCAATAATTGCAATAATTGGAGGTCCCGGATTTTGCAATTATTGCAATTATTGGAATTGAATTCCAATACTTGCAATACTTGCAATAATTTCAGGTCCCGGATTTTGCAATTATTGCAATTATTGGAATTCAATTCCAATAATTGCAATAATTGCAATAATTTCAGGTCCCGGATTTTGCAATTATTGCAATTATTGGAATTGAATTCCAATATTTGCAATAATTGCAATAATTGCAATAATTGCAATAATTGCAATAATTAATTGATCCCAGATTTGGCCTCAAAGCCGGGCCAACTAATTCCAATAATTGCAATAATTGCAAAATCCGGGACCTGAATTTTTTGCAATTATTGCAATTATTGGAATTCAATTCCAATAATTGCAATAATTGCAAAATCCGGGGCCTCCGAATATTGCAATTATTGCAATTATTGGAATTCAATTCCAATAATTGCAATAATTGCAATAATTGCAATAATTGCAATACTTAATTGACCACAGATTTCGCCTCAAAGCCGGGCCGACTAATTCCAATAATTGCAATAATTGCAAAATCCGGGACCTGAAATTATTGCAATTATTGCAATTATTGGAATTGAATTCCAATAATTGCAATAATTGCAAAATCCGGGACCTCCAATTATTGCAATTATTGCAATTATTGGAATTGAATTCCAATAATTGCAATAATTGCAATAATTGCAATAATTGCAATAATTAATTGATCCCAGATTTGGCCTCAAAGCCGGTCCGACTAATTCCAATAGTTGCAAAATCCGGGACCTGAAAATATTGCAATTATTGCAATTATTGGAATTCAATTCCAATAATTGCAATAATTGCAAAATCCGGGACCTGAAATTATTGCAATTATTGCAATTATTGGAATTGAATTCCAATAAATGCAATAATTGCAAAATCTGGGACCTGAAATTATTGATTGTAATTATTGGAATTGAATTCCAATAATTGCAATAATTGCAAAATCCGGGACCTCCGAATATTGCAATTATTGGAATTATTGGAATTCAATTCCAATAATTGCAAAAATTACAAAACCCGGGACCTCCAAATATTGCAAATATTGCAATTATTGGAATTCAATTACAACAATTGCAATAATTGCAAAATCCGGGACCTGAAAATATTGCAATTATTGCAATTATTGGAATTCAATTCCAATAATTGCAATAATTGCAAAATCCGGGGCCTCCGAATATTGCAATTATTGCAATTATTGGAATTGAATTCCAATAATTGCAATAATTGCAATAATTGCAATAATTGCAATACTTAATTGACCCCAGATTTCGCCTCAAAGCCGGGCCGACTAATTCCAATAATTGCAAAATCCGGGACCTCCAAATATTGCAAATATTGCAATTATTGGAATTGAATTCCAATAATTGCAATAATTGCAAAATCCGGGACCTGAAATTATTGCAATTATTGCAATTATTGGAATTCAATTCCAATAATTGCAATAATTGCAAAACCCGGGACCTCCGAATATTGCAATTATTGCAATTATTGGAATTCAATTACAACAATTGCAATAATTGCAAAATCCGGGACCTGAAAATATTGCAATTATTGCAATTATTGGAATTCAATTCCAATAATTGCAATAATTGCAAAATCCGGGGCCTCCGAATATTGCAATTATTGCAATTATTGGAATTGAATTCCAATAATTGCAATAATTGCAATAATTGCAATCATTGCAATACTTAATTGACCCCAGATTTCGCCTCAAAGCCGGGCCGACTAATTCCAATAATTGCAAAATCCGGGACCTCCAAATATTGCAAATATTGCAATTATTGGAATTGAATTCCAATAATTGCAATAATTGCAAAATCTGGGACCTGAAATTATTGCAATTATTGCAATTATTGGAATTCAATTCCAATAATTGCAATAATTGCAAAATCCGGGACCTCCGAATATTTCAATTATTGCAATTATTGGAATTCAATTCCACTATTTGCAATAATTCCAAAATCCGGGACGACAATTATTGCAATCATTGGAGTTGAATTCCAATACTTCCATTGTAGATATGAATTGATCCCAGATTTGGCCCCAATCCAGGCCAACTAATTCCAATATTTGCAACAATTGCAACTGACTTCCAAAAATTGCAATAATTAATTGCAAAATCCGGGACCCCCAACTATTGCAATTTTTGGAGTTATTGGAATTCACCTTGGAAGAATTTGAGTACTTTGAAAAA